ATAAGGAGAAAATAATAAAACAAATAAAATAAAAAGATATCTAAGGAGCATATTGAATAAAATATGGTAATAAAAAAAAAAGGTTAAGAGCATAAAATGTTATAATAAAAATAATAAAATAGTAAAGCACATAGTAAGACACCAGAGGCCTGTACTACGAAGCCGGATTTTCGCTTAGCGAGCTAACTTCAGGGAAAACTCTGGGTTTCCGGTCCTACGACGCTGGTTCACTTCTTACCGGGCTAGATCTCCATGGTAACTTATGCTGAACGGCAAACCTGGGGCCTATACTACGAATCTAGTTCAACATATCCTGGATATGTTTTGAGTTATCCGGTTGACTAAATAAAATAAAAAAACGCTCTCGCTAAACTGTCCTACGACGCTGGTTATCAACTCGATCGCTCAAGCCAGCCGTGTCCTATCTAGTTAGGTGCGCGTTCACATAAAATGGGTGGCATCTGGAGCAATCGACCAATCACAAACATGGACAAGCCGCGTACTGACAGCGCAGCGCGTCATACTTCCTGAATGAAAAGTCAACTATAATATTAGACATATGAAGAAGTTAAACTTTAAACATCCATGACTTAAACACTTTATCCAGGATAAAAGCCACATAGCTGCACCTGCAAGGTGAATACAGCTGGTAACAGAAAAAGTGTTTGAATGCGTACATCAACAGGTTTATGATATCACTGCCCCGTCCAAGACACGAGTGGATCTGACTTTAATTACATTTGACTCGAGTGTTTCGTCAACTTAATGTGTTGATTAAAATAATACTTCTGCATACAGTATGTGACACTGTGAGTGTTGCACGCCAGATACGGCTCAAGAAGCTGACTCAGATAAGGAAATATATAATACATTATGTGATGTGATATCATGTGATATGAATGATAATGGGACACATCGACGTCTGCACTCACAGTGTTGGGACTGTAGACTACGTAATGTTACTTTGATCTGGTTACTTATGTTGTGGCAGATATTTAAGTAAGCTTTCTTAACGCTAATGTTATAATAGTCAGATTGCTCTGAAGATGGGAGGTGATATTCTATTCATTTTCACGTTCACACAGTCAGTTGATTTTGGCCGGCCGTCTTTCCTGCAACGGCAGTTTAAACTGTATTTCCTTTCTCCTGTCATATGAATTGATCGCTTTAAACTCCGCACACTGAGCTCTGATTGATCAGCAGGCAGTGCTTTTATCCTGGAACCTATCCTGCTCCGGAGGCTAGCCGTTCAGAATAAGTTATCGAGCCCGCTAAGAAGTGAACCAGCGTCGTAGGACCGGAAATCCAGGAAGTTAGCTCGCTAAGCGAAAATCCTGCTTCGTAGTATAGGCCCCAGGTTAGGTTCCAGGATAAGAGATCAACTCAGTGAAAGCACCGCCTGCTGACCAATCAGAGCTCAGTGTGCAGAGTTTAAAGCTATCAAGTCATATTACAGGATAAAGGAAATACAGAAAAACTGCCGTTGCAGGAAAGACGGCCGGCAAAAATCAACTGAAAATTAATAGAATATCCCCTCCCATCTTCAGAGCAATCTGACTATTATAACATTAGCGTTAAGTAAGCTTACTTAAATATCTGCCACAACATAAGTAACCAGATCAAAGTAACATTACGTACAGTCCGCGGCACTGTGAGTGCAGACGTCGATGTGTCCCATTATCATTCATATCATATCACATCATAATGTATCATATATTTCCTTATCTGAGTCAGCTTCTTGAGCCGTATCTGGCGTGCAACACTCACAGTGTCACATACTGTATGCAGAAGTATTATTTTAAGCAACACATTAAGTTGACAAAACTCTCGAGTCAAATCTAATTAAAGTCAGATCCACTCGTGTCTTGGACAGGGCAGTGATATCATAAACCTGTTAATGTACGCATTCAAACACTTTTTCTGTTACCAGCTGTATTCACCTTGCAGGTGCAGCTATGTGGCTTTTATCCTGGATAAAGTGTTTAAGTCATGGATGTTTAAAGTTTAACTTCTTCATATTTGTCTAATATTATAGTTCACTTTTCATTCAGGAAGTATGACGCTGCGCTGTCAGTACGCGGCTTGTCCATGTTTGTGATTGGTCAAATGTTGCTAGCCCCGCCCCTTTCATGTGAACGCGCACTCAGCCGGACAGAGAAACCCTGGCTTGAGTTACCGAGTTGATAACCAGCGTCGTAGGACCGCTAGGCCAGAGCGCGTTTGTTTTGGATTAGGTAAGCCGGGTAACTCAAACATATCCAGGGTATGTTGAACCGGCTTCGTAGTACAGGCCTCTGGTTGTCTTTGCAACAACAGCAATGTTGGGGTTTTAGGCTAGTATATGATGTGCATATCACTATTCAAAAATAGGTTGAGAAACACCAATCGACACAGTTAACAACATCTTGACTTTATTTGATAATTTTACAGTAATTAGCATAACGTTCATAGTTCGCATTTTGGTTTAACATATTGTTTCAATTTCAAAACATATTAGCCAGTTATGCCATAAGATAGAACAAGCTAAATATGAACCGTAACCTACATGATCCGCCTTTTGTTACTTTTATTGTACAAGATAATTGCAGACATAATGCAAGAGTTAGGGTTAGGGTCATTTTAACTTAATTGAATTTTTGTAAAGTGAATTGACAAAATAAGTTTTGTGTCAAAGTCTTTAACATCAGATGTGTTTATCTTTTAATCAACTATGCAATCTAAACCTTTTAATTGAAAAAGCAAATTGAGGGCAGCACAAATTAAAACATTTAGGATGTTAACGGATTGAAAAGTTCTCAGTTGTGTGATTTAGTGTGTTTTAATGATGAAATGTCCAACCAAGACAAATAAAGGACTGCTTCTTGCTTTTTAGACAGTATATCAAATACGAGTGTGAAAGTAGTGTGTTATGGGTTTTGTTAATGGTCTGTGTTCCCAGAGGGAGTTTCTCTCCCACACATTCCCCCCCCCTGCCTGAAACGCCTCCATTGGACTCCTTTGTTTACCTTCGTAACATGGTGACATCACTATGTAACACTAGTGCTTCTATTGGCTGGCAATCCAACACATTTTGCGTGATAGGCTAAGGGGCGGGACATATCTAAGTGGTTGACCAATCATAGAAGAATGAGCTCTGGTTTCAGACAGAGGGTGAAAAGAGGTGCTGCAGCACATGCAGTATGAGAAAAATAAAACATTTTTAAACATTAAACCATGTAAACACCCACAGTAGAGGCACAAAATACAAATATTAACCTGAAAGTGAGCATAATATGTCATCTTTAAAGGTCCATTTTACAAATGGATTTATTTTTGAAGCTTTTATTGATGTTTTTTCTAGCTCTACATCATGTGAGATTCTTTATGGTGCCTCTTTTTTGTTTCCCTTCCTGCCACTCGTTTCTATCTCTCTCTCTCTCTCTCCCCCCCCCCCCCTCCCTCTCTCTCCGTGCTGCTGTCACTTCCTATGAACGGACAGGCCCGTGTTGTGTTTGGGCCACACAGGCCGCGCTGGAGCTCAAGCCGCCTGACTCACAAGCTCTTGGCTGTAGAGAGAGAATGTCACTGCACATTGGGTTGCCTTTCGCGTTACACAAGCGCAAACACACACAGCAAACAAACACAGTCTGCGACGTGAAAGTACACACACATGCTCGCAGACAGAGCAAGCCAAGCAAATCCCAACTTACACACACGATCACACCAGGCTATTTTTAGACGGGATGCAGACTCATATGCAACAGGAATGAACTCGATGGAGGTGAATGAATGAATGTGTGGCATATTTTGGAATTTTTTGATTGGCTGCTGCTGTTGCACAGTGATAGAGTCACGGTGTCCCCACTGTTGAGTTCAGGTTTGATGGACGGAGTGATGTCAATGTAGCCCTGTGTGAATCACTGTATCTGGTTCAGGTTATTACGTTGCAGTTCTGTAAACCTGAGATCCAAAAGAGCTGTGACATGTTTCAACCATAGACTGTATATATAAAGGTTTCAACCATGGATGTATAAAGAGAAGTGGTTACAGCGTTGGAGGCGGGGCCCTGACTATTCCTATGAAAGGTGCAATGCAGTGGTGCATAAAGCCAAAAGGCCCTGACTCTCCAATACAAAAATACCCAAATCTGGGGGATCTGGGCCCAAAGAGCATGCACACTTGTGAGTCCTTAAGCCCCGCCTCCAATCCTCTCCATCCTGGAAGCGTCATGTCTGGTCACAACCTTTATATAAACAGTCTATGGTCACGACTCAGTCTTTGAGGACCTAATGATTTAAAAAGGGCTATTCAAGTGTTTGTACTTGGTAGTTGATGTACCTGATAAAATATCCACTAATTTACGGACAAAAAGTTTTTTGGGAAACCAATGACAACACAGACTTACACGGAAGTTGATGTACCACTGTTTGGCCACTATTAAAATTCGCTTCAATGCCAGGTGCTTGGGCCTAATTTAAGTATCACTTCCGAACAGATTTGTTTTTAAGTGCAACATGCAAGTGATTTATGAGATCTTAAACAAACTAGTTTTGTCGTGTTATGAATTTAGAATTTGGCGGGTAAACAATTATTTAGCAAACTGACTTTTTCATATAATCTTATTTTAGCGCCCACTCAAAATTGTAGAACATAAGCTAGCATGCACACAACCATTCACACACCTGTGGCCAAGATGCCCTCTGCTTATCGGGAGCATTAAACATGAATAAGCACACTTGTGTGCTTTCTGGGTTCTGTAGTAGTTGACCGCTAAACCTCCTGAGCTACCGGCGCCTCTTAAGATTTGAAGTGAAAATATGGGGAAACCAAGTAAAATAAATAAATTAAATATTACTAATATTTGAGGTTCTGTGGAAAGATTAATTGTTATAGTCTTATATCAAAAGAATGTGTGCTCATAATAGCAATTTAGTATTTAACTATGTAATTAATGAAGTAATTTTTCTTTTTTTACTTTTAAGTGTTTAAGCAAATGTGTTTGTGTGTATTTTTCTCTGCAGCAATCCATGAGTTTCCCAGGGATTACTTCACCAACCAGGAACGTGTTGATGGAGCAGTGGGCCTGCACGTCCTCTGTGTGAGTATCACCTGCAGCACTGTACTGTACATACCATGTTTCATACTTAGAAAAGGGCCAGTGCTCAATAACGATTGCAGAAAAAGCTTTTAAATAATATGTGTGTCTTTAAGGTTGATCATGCAGCAGCATATCAATGCAGGTTACTCTGTTATAACACTGAATTATAAATATGTCTAGGAGATCCTGTAGAGCCATCTTTAACTTAAATATTAAAATGAAAGTTATTATCATATACTTTTCAGGAGACAGCGCAGCTGGGGAATATTCAGACCCGGCAGGATTAGCAATACAAAGGCTAAGTTAGCAGCTAATGCTAAAGCTTATATACAAACAAAACGGATGTTTGAGGTTCATCATCAAGATTTGATAGCTGTAGTATTTCAGCACAATAGCTGCAACTAAAAACTCTCCTAAATGTGTTATGGTCTTTAAGGGAGAAAAAGAGCACACTGAAAGAATTGAGGCTTTAAATAATGCAAACAGACTGATGCTCCAACAATACTTTGTCTTCATCAGAGTTAAAAAGGACAGAGACAAAACGGCACTCACATTTATATTTAACCTACAACATGTGAACTGTTCTCTCTGGATAACTGGTTGAACAACATTTAAAATATATTAAGGAGTGAATCCAAATATGGGAGTAGCCATTTTGTTTGTTTTCTCTGCTGATTTTAGAAAGCAGATGCTAGCTTATTTAGCAAGGTGCATCAGTACATCATGGGATGCTCACTTTTGCCAGTGATAAACAGGGTTGTTTGAACTGTATCTACCTAAAAAATGTACAGCAAACTCTTTAGAGTGTCTTTGAGTACAGAGGGCTAAGCTAAGAGGCTACGTATGATTAACACACACACTGCTAATATATTGCTAACATCAATACTAGATACTTTCTATGGAATCCATCAAGCTGCAAATTCAGGCTATGGCCGTAAAATGGTGGTCCCTCTTCCAGCCATATAACACTGCTATCTTGTTATGGTCATGTGTACTGTAGCATCTGTCTATAGCGTACATTTGCCATCTTTGTGTTAACTGTGCCAATTAGCGATCATTATAACATTTTAGTATTTGTAGATGATTCTTAAACTTTACGTGCCAGCACTTCCAAAGCTGTTTTTTATGTATTAATTATCATAATATATAATAAAATAAATACTAAATTTGAGTTGCCACAGCGGCCAATTGAATATAATGCTTATTTAAATAGAAATATTAGGGCTGTCAGGCGATTAAAATATTTAATCGCGATTAATCGCATGATTGTCCATAGTTAATCGCGATTAATCGCAAATTAATCGCACATTTTTTATCTGTTCTAAATGTACCTTAGAGGGATATTTTTCAAGTTTTTAATACTCTTATCAACATATGAGTGGACAACTATGCTTTATATGTTTGTTTATTATCATTTGAACAATGACAAATATTCTCATTAAACACAACAACCTCTGAACATTACAAATATTCGCCCCAATTCAACCTAGAACCTCTCTCATACAATACTGTGTGTGTGTGTGTGTGTGTGTGTGTGTGTGTGTGTGTGTGTGTGTGTGTGTGTGTGTGTGTGTGTGTGTGTGTGTGTGTGTGTGTGTGTGAGTGAATGTGGAGGATCGTTGGAGCTATGTGCAGCTCAAGGCATATATGCCTGTGTGTATGAGCTGTGTTGCGGCACTATCCGTGCTGAGTGTGCTGTCTGGCTACCTGCATAAAGTCAAGTGCTCGGCGCAGTTGTCGGCGAAATGTCGCTCCTCTGTTTTCATTGAAACAGCTCCTTATATCCGTTAGCTCAGCTAGCTAGCACCAGATGCTAACAACAACACGTAAGGTGTGCTTCGCTCGCGCCACACATACACACACCCTCCCGGTCCTCCCGATGGCCAGTCCGGGCCTGCCGGTGAGCGTGGAAGTGTGGTCTGCCACAAGCGGGCAGCAGGAGCGGGGCTGTCAGCATCAGCTTGTAGATGGTATTTTAAACTCGATGCGCTCTGAAACTACGGCGGCCGAGGACAAAAAATACACATGCGTTAATCGCGTTAAAATAATTAGTGGCGTTAATTTTTTTTTGCGTTAACGCGTTATTAACGCGTTAACTTGACAGCCCTAAGAAATATACAATGTTTGTAATGCTAACACAGGTTATAGTTGTAGCATCATAAGGAACTAATAAGAGAGAGAGAACAGTATTTATTTTAAAGACAATACATTTAGAGCAGCAGATTTTAGTATGGCGTTGCGGTGGCCGGACCTTTTTATTCTTCAAGAAAGGAAAAGGTGTTTTGAGGTTAGTTATAGCAAATAGCATTGACATAAAATGTAACCTTGTGTAGGTGATCAAATCAAAGAGACTTTGACTAAAAGATAAAACATCTTTACAATTCTGTATATGGTGGTTGTGACTCAGGAGGTAGAGTAATCGTCTGGCGATTGAAAGATTGGTAGGAGGGTACTGAATCCCAAATGTCTCCTGATGTCACAGCCATGAGTGTGTGTCAAGGTGTATAGCCTCTGACAAGCAGGTGGCATCACAGATGGGTCAATGCCATATTGTGTTGTAAAAGTAATTTTATTAGTCACAGAAAATGCATTGTAAATTCAATTTGCATACCACTTACAACTGGGAAATTAAACATAAATGCCTGTGTTTAATACTAACTTACTCACACAACACTCGGAGAATCCACCCACTGAGCCAAGTGCCAGTGGGGAGTAATTCGGAAGTGTTTGGCAGATGTTAAAGAGAGGCTTATATGTGATCCAAGGACACACTTACTGACTCTAAAGACACCAAAACTGCTCCACATGTCAAACTGAGGTGTCATTCCCTTTAATTACGTTAATCTTTTTTGAGGCCTGGTTTTTGAACCTATTTATTCTATATGTATGTCAACACTCTGCATAGTAAGTACCAAAACATATTTTCTGAAGCAATTCTAAAACTGTCTCAAATATGTTTAATACATATGCGCAAGTTGCACAGAGCTTTTATCTATCTGAATTGCAGAATGAACACTACAGATTGGCCTCATATTACTGTAGTGTGCTTCTACACAAACAGTAGCCTGATTATTTTGTGTAACCCAAACGGCAAGCTGTTAAAGGGACTCTGACTTTGTGGAAAATAAATATGCAATTTGAATGAACTAACCCTTTAACAGAGGGAATTGAGGCTGAAAGTCGCTGTCAGGTAATTGGGCAGAGCCTCATCTCAGCATTGCATCCACAAACACAAAGCGTGATTTCCCCATTGGATTAGATATCATGTGATGATGATATGTAATTCATTTAGTCACTTGTAAACTACCGCCATTTTTTTTGTCATAGAATCTTCGGACATTCACAACTGGGGTATTTACTGATGTTTTTCAAGACATAGAACAAACAATCTCTTAAGGTTGTGTTAACCACAAACATTTATTTCAGGCTTCTAACCACAAACACGTTCAAAAAACATTCAGAAAAAATACTCTGTGCAGCTCTTTTTCTCAAGGCGGACACATATTGTCAGTTTGACAATAAAGAACCTTGAACCTTGAATATTAGCCCCTTGATACTGTTTTTACTTTACTAAACCAGCGTCTGAATAAGAGTTAGCGGTTTGCTACATCTTTTTATTCAATTTGATGTTTTTTTCACTTGGTTTAAGTACAAGTTAAACACACATGTTATTCTAGGTAGATGGACAATGTTCGGTTTCACTTTCTTAAATATCTATGTATGTGTGTTTGTGTGTGTTTGGCCCCTTCAGGCGGTCTACATGTTCTATGCCCTGGCCTTGGTGTGTGACGACTACTTTGTCCCCTGTCTAGAGAAGCTCTGTGAGGTAAGCAAACCCTCAGGTTATGATTGCACTACCATTGAGCTTCCATCACGACTCTTCTTTTAAGCCACTTTCATGTATTTCTGTGAAGAAATGTATTTATTTTTCTGGCTGTCTCTTGTTTCTATATATCTTTTATCTTCTCTCAACAAACAGCGACTTCAGCTGAGCGAGGATGTAGCAGGAGCGACCTTCATGGCAGCTGGAAGTTCTGCACCTGAATTGTTCACCTCTGTCATTGGTGAGAAACACACTCACACACACACACACACACACACACACACACACACACACACACACACACACACACACACACACACACACACACACACACACACACAAAAGCCCATATTAAACACATTCTGAAAGAGCAACTGTAGTTATTGAAGAACTTGTGTTTTTAAATGTTGGAATGTTGGTAATCTAATACTATTATATCTAATACTATTAGATTACCAAGTACCATATACTTTTTTTTTGTGTATGACGTTTTTTCAATCTTTCCATCCACATCAAAGAGTCATATTTTATACAGCCATATCTACAGCATGCTTTTCATCTCTGGGTCACCAATGACATTTAAAGGGTCATGGAAAGTCTATTAAAAGGGTTTTACTGTATAAAGTAAAATATATCAGCCTTATCTTAAAGTGGACCTATCATGCTATATTATAATAATATAGTGTAGGACCATACCTATATAAGGCATATTTATACTTTTTTTTCCTTCAAAATACCAAACAGATCATGCATTTTAGCCATGCCTCATTTCGCTCAAATTGCACTTTTTTACCCCTGTTTTTGCAAGGGCTGATTCTGTGAGAACAGCACCACCTACAGGCCTGGCATATGTACTACAGCGTCTCCAGCGCTTTCGAACGGCAATGGCCGTGGCTGTCTCCTCCTGATTGGTGGAGTTGGCCCAATAGCCGTAGCGCCACTTCTGTGACGTCATTGAAGTGTTCAAATCTGGATCAGTTTTTATCAGATCCGTTGCAGCCCCGTTTTTAGAGATTTGGGTATGGAGGAAAATAGAGAAGGTTGTGTTTTCTGACACTTGGTGAGTTCCCTGGAACACCGGGGACACATATTCATGTATAAAAGACGTACAAAAGTGCATTTTGCATGATAGGTCCCCTTTAAGACACAATTAAAACATTGGTAAAAAGTGTTTAAAGGATTGGAAATTGTGAATGTGCAACGTTGCGCTGTTACTGTTCATTGTATGGAACCACAGAACTCAACCTGGAATATAAGTAGAAAATGTAAACTGTTGTATGTTGTGGTCGTTTTGAAGATCTGGTCTCATAATAGCCTACTTTTGTTATAATTATGTGTATTTTGTATTAATTGTTGGTATTCTGTACATTTTCACATCCAGATAATTATTTGTTATTGCAATGTGTATGTTGTTTCACAAAGTTGTAGAGATAAAATAAGATTACAAAGGATTTTTGAACTTTATGTGACAGTATACACAGAAAAAGGAAAACAAACAAATAGAGAATTTCTTGTGAAGAGATTTCAGAAATATAACAATGAAAATACCCAAGCTTCAATTGAAAATGATTGTTATTTCTTACAATCATAGCGAAGTTATATCCCCAAAATGTGAACACAATGTTTGTGAAGTGGGTAATGGGTATTTGTGTTTACAGGAGTTTTCATCACGAAAGGTGACGTCGGGGTCGGCACCATCGTTGGCTCCGCCGTCTTCAACATCCTCTGTATTATTGGAGTGTGTGGCATATTCGCCGTACAGGTACAGTCCAAAACACACACACACACACACACACACACACACACACACACACACACACACACACACACACACACACACACACACACACACACACACACACAAAACCTTATCAGTAATGTTTTTATGGCTCTTTATCTCTCAAACTTAGTATTCGTCCTACCAATATTCACTCAGACATTTATGAAGCATTTTAAACACTGCACTATAGAGTGGTTCAGTGATGACATCTTTTTCGGGGCATTGGCAAAGTTAGCATCGCAAACCCTCCCTCAACTATATTGCAGAAAATAGGCTCTGTGGCAAACACACGTTTATGATACTTAGACGTTTTGTTTTGCAGGATAATCGCCACACATTAACACCACTTTTTTGGTTTTGAAGCGTAAATTAAATTGCTAGAAGTAGAAAATTACGACCACAGGCATAACCACTGCTAAGCTAGAGAAGGCTAATGTTTAGCATGAGGACGTTAAGTATACTCATTTAGTCACCTAACCACATATCTTAATTCTGGCACTGCTAAACTAAAGGCGGCTATTGTATGACATAACAACATTTTTCAGTCTCATTTAGCCACTTATTAGCTACCCCCTTTTTTTAAGGCACATACTGGAGAAGCTTTGCACATTAACAATTGGGGTATTTTCTGACGTATTTTATGTCGTAGAACAAAATGTGAAAATCTTGCTTGGGTTAACCACAGTTCTAATCTAATCATTGATTTAGAGATGAGGTGTGATAACTTGTATTATGCTAACTAATGTCCAGTACTAAGTCATTTATATACTACTACTAGTCATTTCATTATTCATTCCTGCATCCATCCATCCATGAGCTGACAATGTGCTGATATGATGTTCTCATAGAATAATATTTCAATTTCCTGCATTACCCCTAAGTTGATACAAAAAATGAAAATAAAACCTCAAATGAATAATACAATCTCTCTCTCGTCTGAATCAACTGTTATGTGTTTCGTTCCCTGCTGTAATCCTGGGAGAAAGGCAGACTTGAAATTCTTATTTAGATTGCATGTTATGCAAGCCCAAAAGAGACTTGCACAAACACAAACAAGCACGCACAGAGCCTGCTTTATCCTGTTAGAAGTGCACAGCAGTGAGTGCATTGTGGGATGTGTGACCCAGCAGTGTGTGCCTGGGCTGCATGGTTTGGAAAAAAATACTTATTGAGATTATTTTGACTGATTTCGCAATTTGCAATGATTCACGATATTGGAGAGATTAATCGTTTTTGATTAGAATTCTTTTATGATTGAAAAATATATGAACTGTTAATGGTGGGAGTATTTTTTAAAGATGATCTGTTCAAATTATGTTTTGATAAGTCTGTAAAATATAATTTGTAGGTTGGGATAGTCCTGCAGCTCCATAATTCTTCCTTCAAAATGTATATATACAGTACATATTACAGTAAGCCTTTAACAAATAATGTTCTTCCTGCAATTTGAATATTGCACCTACACACGAGGATGAGAGCCATGTGAATTTTTTTCGAGATCTGACCAAAAGTGAATTATTTTATTAAAAATAAAGTCAGAATTCTGAGAAAGAAAATCACTTTTGGTTACACCTAAAAAATACATGAATGCAATAGTCCATATTTCCATTTCAATAAAATGTTGACTCTTGTGCAGCCTGTCTGTAAGTTTTGGCCTCTCTCTCTCTTTCTCAGGCGATCCATCTCACCCGCTGGCCTCTGATCAGAGACTCTACATACTACACCCTGTCGATCACTGCTCTCATAGTGGTAAGGAACAGCTTGATACGACCCAGAGTCACAAACATTGCAAATACAAAGATTCATCCTGCATTCTCTGGAAATATTAATAGATTTTATCACCAAACTTAAGTGGTCCTGATGTGTCCACATGTAATTATGCTCTTTGTAACCAACTCTATGAACATAATTCACAATGTTATCGTGTTAAACACAAGCCTTAATCTACATTTTCTGTGTTGTTTTACAATAACACAGTCACATTTGTTGGTGTTAGTGTATCACTACGGTAACGTACAGTGTTGAGACTATCGTTTTCCAACAGTTGTCTCCTGAGTTGTTAGCTGTGTCAAGAAACGAGACACAGGTGTATTCAAAGACAGAAGATGTTTGTCTTCATTTTCCTCTTCACCTTTATGAATTTACAATAATCATGCTTTTAAAAGCTGTTTTAATTGCATATTTAAATATCTGATTTTCACTTCTCTGTAATTTTTTCCTCTTTCATATTACAGTTCATATATGACGAGAAGATTGTTTGGTAAGTCTAATCTTTACACGTGTTGAATGTTTACAATTAATCAAAAATAAGAACAAATGATTCACATGGTAATTTATCCAAACTGTGTTTTCCAGGTGGGAAGCTCTGACGTTGGTTCTGATGTATTTCGTCTACATTTTCATAATGAAGTAAGTTTTTCTTAAAGAACACAAACAGGACAAAACAGGTTTAACAACCGTTTAATCATATCAGTAAGATTTTGATCATTACAACTAGTCACAATGCTTTTCATATTGATATTCAGTATGCTATGTTTTAAGTCGGTGATTATCAGTTGGCGTCAGAATGATCACTTCCTGTTGCTCTTTTTTCACATCAAAAGTTCTGCATTGACAAAACCTATTTAGGTCATTCTAGTAAGTCAACTGCAGGGTCGGGTTCTGCAATGTTTTTTGCTCCATGTGTTATTTTTCACAACCTCATTGGTGAGATTGAATTATCCTCCATGGCCACAATTTAACTTTATTAAACTTACATTTTTGTGAAAAAAGGTTCTGGCACTTTCTGAGTCTGGAATAAATTGACTTTCTTTCACTATTGTCTGGGGCCTTGGTATAAAGTGTGTTATTAATATTGATGTAAATACAAAAAAACAGAAAACTCTCGTGGATCTCCCCCATGGTAGCCCAATAAAACAAAACTGATGAGCATTTTTGTGATCAAATCTTTTTTAAATCACGTATTGTACATAAATGTTCGATGGGAATTAGACTTGACCTTTGTTTCAGGATGAACTCCTACGTTGTTCGTTTTCTGGAGAGGCGGGCGAAGAATTCGTCCAGTCTGAGGAACGGAGTGGCCTCTAACGGCGAGCTTGAAGATGGCTGTGACGCTACATCTGTTCTACTGAAGAAAGGTTCTTTTTTATGTTTATGATACTTACACTTTTTGTTAAGTAGGATCATCTCCACATATTAACACCACTTTTATGATTGTTGAGTGTAAATGCGATCTGTCGAAGTAAAAATGTAAAAGCGACTATGAAGAAACTGCATGACGGTGGCATGACATCACGTCACCACTGCTAAGCTAAAGGCGGCTAATGTTCAGCATGATGCATTTTTACCTATCAGTAATGTTTTTCTGTCTCTTTCTGTCTCTTCTCCCTTCACACAGTATTTCTCCTACCAACATTCACACAACATATTTAATCAAGCATTGTAGACACTGTATTTTTGAAAATGAGATCCTTGGCAAACAAATGTATGTGATACTTAAACGTTTTATTCATTAGGATAATCTCCACATATTAACAACACTTTCACAATAGTTTGAGCGTTAATGCATTTGCCAGAAGTAAAAAGCTAAAACCACAGGCATAACCACCGCTAAGCTAAAAGTGGAAAATGTTCGGTGTGACAACATTTAGCTGTCTCATTTATCAACCTGTTAGCAACAGTCGTTTCTAACATACATAAAAACTCCACACATTGACCAGTCGGGTAGTAACTGACATATTTTATGTCATCAAATAAAAAAATTAAATCTCTTTAGCTTTGTTTTTAACTACAGATCTTATATAAACGTTGATTACGAGACGAGGAAACCGGCAGTGGTAAAATGCTCATTTCCTGGTTTTAGGACTCCTGAATTCCTGCACCACTCCATTGCGCATGTGCATTATCTAACCCAGGACAGAGCCATGCTAACTTTCTCCCTCTTCTCCCACTTTTTAAGCTTAGTTAAAAAAAAAAACATGTAAGAATACATTATCTAGGATTTGATTTGTGTGTTAAAGAACTGTGTGTTCTAGCACGATGTCACGAGGTATGGAATATAGAAGATGCATGTGTGTGTTTCCCACAGCGAACCACCACAGGAAGCCGTCTGTGCTGATGGTGGACGAGCTGCTGTCAGCCTACCCCCACCAGCTGTCCTTCTCTGAGGCGGGCATGAGAATCATGATCACCGACCACTTCTCTCCGAGGACCAGGCTCACCATGGCTTCACGGATGCTCATCACAGAGGTACACACAGGCGCACTACAACACTTTTGATTGAAACATGAACAAAATAAAAGGATGGCTACCATTTCCAATTGGAAGCAGGCTGCAGTGGGTTTTCCTCAGAAGAGTGTGCGTTAGCCTAAACCCTAACCCTTACGTGTCAATTTCTGCTACTACAGCACACAAACCATATATACGCTCCTCTCATTACAGGCCATTACAGGCCACTAGCAATCAAATAATGACAGACTGCCTATGCTTTGGGGCGGCTGTAGCAAGTCCCTCAATCTGTAGGGACTTAGCATGGGAAGCAAAGGGCCGCCAGTTCAAGTCAACTGGGGGAAGGACTTCAACCCTTCTACCATATTTTAGTTTTATTCCTGTAGAGTGTGCTGTTTTCTTCTTCACCTAACACTCTTATCTCTGCAATTCGACAGCTCTGCTGTGCAGCTACTAAAGCGAACATCAGTGCTAGCTTCACAGACAGGATGAGGCGCTTTATAGCACTAATAATATGATGTTAATAAAAGCTTAAAAAGGAGATGCTAATGACTTTATTCACCAGTTGTCATTTAGACTGAGCACTACCTGTCTGAAATGAACATGATCACCTTGACTGCAGGGGTGTTGAAATTAATCGTTTCTACGATGCACCGCGATGCGGACGTGGACGATTCTGCATCGATGCAGTGACAGAACATAATCGATTATAGCGTAGTAACGTTGCTTCCTGATTGTACGGCCGCGGCTTTACAATAACATTTTTTTTTCTGTCACTTGAATATCAAATCGGTCGGTGACGCAGAGATCAGGGAACAGACGTGACAGCGGCACAGCGGCACAGCGACACCAAACACGGAGCAGTCTGCTTTCTCCACCAACACAAGAACACCAGTCCAGAACCAACAGCAGAAGGACCCGCTCTGAATCACTCCGTGTCGCTGCGGCTCAGAGACACAAGGATTTATGTTTTAAAAAAATACTCGCACATCATGTCAGGTTTTTGGTGGATTTAATTAAGTCTTGGATTGCAGAGTATGAATGTCCTCTTGCTATTTTCAGACGATATATACGTGTGTAAAGTTTGTGAAGGCAGGAGGAAAAAAGCTTCCGCGATCACCGTCTACTCTGTTCCTCCAAACCCCCCCCCCTGAAAATAACGAGTGACAGGCTGATAGTGACCTGATAGAAACTTTATTATTCACTTAATCACTGATTGAGATATGATGAAGCTAACTTAATCTCATACATTCATGGGATTTATGTAACAGTAAGACAGAGAATGTAAGTGTGCTCCCACATGCACTATTTTTGTTTGTATATGCTGTTGTAAATACTCCTGTTGTCTGCTGTGTTCTGACTCAAGTCCTGTGTGTGATGCCACATTCAGGACATTCAGTGTCCTTTCTTTAACAGAAGACCGTAGCTAGAAGCTGCAGCTAGACTGCTGAAGCATTAGTTGTTTGTTTTTGAGGATGGAACAACTTCACACACAGATATAGGGAGGCTAGACCTATACAATTAATTTATTTTGGTTTATAAATTAATGTCAAGACATTTATGTTATTGATTTCTGAAGCACTTTCTAAATAATAAAAAGAGAGTTCATATGTATTTACTGCATGTATTCATTGATGAAAAAGAAGCCATGTCAGGTAATATAGGAAATTGAGGATGCAACGCATTGGTATGAATCGTGATGCATCGGGATATCGAATCGAATCGGTGACAGGATAATCGTAATCTAATCGTGAGACCAGTGAAGATGCACAGCCCTACTAGACTGCAGTACATACTATTCTGTAAATCGGTCATTTATGAATAGACCAAAACTATATTATAAACATTAAGAAATTACAAACCTTAAGGGTTGTCAATATAACTGTTGAAATAATTAGATGAAACTTTGACCTGCTATCGCTTGCTAGAACATTTTTTAAAAGTTTATAACTGAGATGTAAACAAATAAACTCTTTTGAAGTTTCATTTTCAATATATACACAATAAAGAGTTCAGTTTTTTGTGCTTTTAAACTCATTTTGTTTACACATTGTGTGTGTGTGTGTGTGTGTGTGTGTGTGTGTGTGTGTGTGTGTGTGTGTGTGTGTGTGTGTGTGTGTGTGTGTGTGTGTGTGTGTGTGTGTGTGTGTGTGTGTGTGTGTGTGTGTGTGTGTGTGTGTGTGTATATATAACAGAGGCAGCGTCTAATCCACTCACGGACTTTGACCAACGGTGACTCAGATGTTCAAGTGAAAGGAGGAAGTAGGCGGGGCATAGAGAACGGGATGTCCGGACCTGAGAGGGGGATCGGCGTTCGCCGCGAGGACCGAGAGGCGGGCAACGAGACGGACAACGAGGACAACGACAACAATGAGAACGATGAAGAGGAAGAAGAAGAGGATGGAGGGGGGCCCTTTGTACCCTTCCAGTGCCCAGGTACCTGCTGGAGATGGATCTGTGGGCATTGTGTTTACACTGTTATTGGAAATGATCTATTGTCACTTGTGTTTAAAGACATACTTTTTTGGAAAACCCTGATTTGCACACATTTAAAAAAAGTTGAGTGCAAAACACTGGACACATTCTCACACTCAACGACGGCCATCTTGGTTATGTGACGGAAGCTTCACAACCAGTTGAACTAAACATATACAAGTCATGCATATATTTTTTATTCACAATATAAGTAACGTACTTACATCACTATTCTGGTGTTGAAAAGAAAACACGGTTAATTGAGTGGTGTGATGATTTGGTATCGCTAATGTTAGTAACTAGCTAGCTATCCAACTGCAGCGATAAAAAGTTAAATAAAAAATATAAAGATAGTTATTTAAACATAAAAAGTGAACATAAAATGTCCAATAAATGATCAAATACAAATAACTGAATGTGCAATAAAACATTGTATGTAAAAAAAGTTAAATGTTTAATAAAAGATAAACATTTTTGAATAAAAACAGAAATAAAAAATATAAAAATAAAAATGTTGACATTGTACTACAACATGTAACATCTATATTACAATTGACGTACATGAGATAACATTGTCCTAATACGGTATAGTATGAGAGAGCATGATAATCTTTGTATCAGTCTGTTGATCCTTCCTCCCTCTTCATCAGTGTATATATCTCATGTTTCTTGTGTGTTTGCAGCGGGGGGGTTCAACAAGCTGAAGTGGCTGGTGGCCTGGCCTCTCTGCCTGCTGCTGTACTTCACCGTCCCCAACTGCTCCACGCCTCGCTGGGACAACTACTTCATGCTGTCCTTCTTCTGCTCCACCCTGTGGATCGCTGGCTTCTCCTACATCATGGTCTGGATGGTGAGAGACTGGGGGGGAAATTGAGGGGGAGGCACATTGGTAGAAATGTAGATAAAAAAACCTAATGATTTAAATAAATAGCCACGTGTTCATCCTGGCAAGCTGATGTACATAGACAATTTACAGAACTCTCTTTCTCATTCTAAGTAAATGGGAGTTAGGGTTAGGGTTAGGGTTAGGGTTAGAAATAGTACTTGTAGTACCACTGTTTGGCCACTGCGAAAACCTGCTTTGATTTAGATTTCGTAATAGAAAAACAAATACCTGCCAAAATACAGGCAGTAATATTCTGTCTTCCTCTGTCAGGTGACAGTGATCGGCTTCACACTCGGTATCCCGGACGTCATCATGGGCATCACCTTCCTGGCAGCCGGCACCAGCGTCCCTGATTGCATGGCCAGCCTTATAGTGGCACGACAAGGTAAACACACACACACACACACACACAAACACACACACAAACACACACACTCACACACACACACACAAATAACAGGTTACAAAACTGTCATTTAGCACAAACACACACACAAACAGCTCATTGAAGCCAAACAACAGAATCAAAGTGAATGCAGTATCAAAGAGCCAGAGAGGGAAGAGATGACAGAGAGAGAGATGGGTGGGGGGGAGTGTGAGTGGGGGGGGCTTTTCCACTGTCCCCCTTCCATCCCTGTGGCGAGGCTGTAAAAGAAAGGGGGGGTGGTGAGAGCAGACAGCCTGACAGGGTCCCTTCCTCCATCCTTTCATCTGTATTTATTCTTGCTCCTGTTATCAAATATTTAAACTGTTCTGTGTGGAGGGCGGGGCGATTGAGGTTTGGGGATGGGTCATGCTCGCAGATCCACTGATGTCACACGTATCAACCCACCTATGTCCCAACCTGACACATCCCAGTGTAACTTCCTGTTTCCCTGTTACCAACTCAATGTTCCTTTTATGCTTAGCTTGCTTCTAGTTAATTAACATCCTTTAACGGTGTAATAATCAAATATTACATTAAAGGACAGGTGTCATGCTTTTCCGGTTATTACCCGTCCCCTTGTGTGTTATGAAGGTTTTTATGCATGTAAACGGTGTGCAGAGTCAAAACCCTCAAAGTACACCCTGTAGCGAGTAAAACTCTAACACAGAAAATACCTCCCCAAAACGCCTCGTTGGAGATACGTCATTGTCCATTGTTTACTTCCTGGGTATCGCTACGTAGGGATACCCAGTAGCCACGCCCAGAGCTATGACGCGATACGGTCATGCGGTACCCGGAACCAAATGGACCAATCCGTGGAGCTGTTACGTTACGTCCGCGGAGCCGTTACATTAAGCCCCCGCTGATTGGTCCAAATTGACCAATCCACGGACTTCCTCACACACACACATCTGTATGCAGGGAGCAGGCAGCTCTGCTGATTTCTCCTCCCTGTGCATGCTGATAACAGACAGTTGGGATCGCGGCGAAATTCTCTCTGCAGACCCATTCTCACAGCGTTTATCAACCTTTTTCTTACTCAATATCAAGCCACACTTATTGTTTTTACTTCAGCTGTGACTTTGTGTGTGCTCAGGATGAGTTTGGCTGTGTTTGGCTGTGTATCCTAAACAAGGAACACCTCCACGGAGCTCAGCGCGATTCACAACGTCCCGACCAATCAGAGCACACTGTGCTCACAGGGAGGGTGGGGGCTGGAGCTATTGGAGCTACAACGAGCCGTTAAAGGCAGAGAGTGAAATTCAGTGAATACACGTAGTTTACAGAGATGCTGTATGCGAAACCAATGTGAGTTTGGAAAATTGCACAATATAAATCTATTTTAGTAGACCTCAACAATGGAATTATGATCAGTGGAAATGGCCATGACACCTCTCCTTTAAACAAACAAGAATTGGCTAAAACCATAAAAGTTGGTAATGAAGTTGAAATGTGCGCCATTTTTTAAAATGCCTTAAATGATAAGAAAATGACTTGCTCTTGCTTGTTTAAGTATGTTTTTCTGGGAACTTCAATTGTTATCTCAGAATTGTGATTTATTTCTCAGAATTCTGAGATTTTCTCAGAACTGCATCTCTTAATAACCCTAACCCCAAATCCGAAAATAAGTCACTTTACGTCAGAACTCAACAATTTCCAAAATTGGGATCAATAAAGTGAATATGATCTAATCTCAATAAAAAAAGTGGAGATAATTCTTTTTCGTAAGTATGTGAAACAGGTTAAATTGTTGATCTGTGATCTACAAAATATTCTTAATCTAGCATCCTCAGATCGATTGCTTCTGTCTCCATCCACATATCCGGGGAACGTGGGGTATTCTTCTCATTAGTGTAAAGTTCTTGAGGAAACAACAATGTATACTCACGTGATTATTTCTCCCCATATATCAGAGGCGAAACACATCTCGGTAACTCTCTCTACGTTTCTTTCTATCTTACTTTCCTTACAAATGTATCTGTTCAGGAATGGGAGACATGGCTGTGTCCAACTCCATCGGCAGTAACGTGTTCGACATCCTGGTGGGGCTCGGGCTCCCCTGGTCCGTGAAGACCCTCGCTATCAACTACGGCACTGATGTAAGTAACACACTCCCCAATGTACCTCAAACCCCCTCTTCTCAAGGTCAAACCTGAACTATTCACAGCAATACAGGTGATGGCAATGTTCAGAATTCATCAACACTAAAGTAGGTGTTTCTTCTAACTTTAGATAACCATCAAAATAGTATTTTGCCTAAATTAAAGTCATTAAGTGGAGTGTCTGTACATCCAAGGCTAGTTTACTTTTCATGATGTAACATAACACCTTTCAGTTACCCACAGCATGACAGCACTACTCAAAACATATATTTACTAGATGGAAATAAGAACAATACATTGGGGTGACAAAAGTCAACTTTTTTTTGTAACCCTGTCAACAGGGACGTGCACAAATGTTGGAGCAGTTTCTCAGTAAAGAGAAAACATGATAACAAGAACAAAATGCTATGCAGCTATCTGCAACGAATTACTGATAACAAATACAACATTTAAAATTAGAAAACAAAAAGCAAGAGAAAAATAATTGCTGAGTAACTGGTTTGTTTATAAAAGCAGCTGGGTTATGCACCACCACAAAAAATGAAAACAAAGAAAATTAATTGGTATAGAAATGAGCTGTTGTTATTCATACATGTTTCCAAAAATAATGAATAGTTAACAAAAGCATAAATGGTGTTCAGTGGCATTAGGATTTCAGACGATGTTATCAGTATCCTGAGTTGTTACTGAAGTGCACTCTTTTTGCTTCTCACAACTGCACAGACCTTGCATTCTGTAGATATACATACTTCTTTTTTAAGTGAACAGTACATTAATGTCCATAACTTGTGAAACATTGGAAAAATGGTACGATTAACTCAGGATTGTACCCAGACTCCACTGGAATTAATTCATTTTGCAGCTAAATGTAATAATACAACAACAACAACAACATCCAGGCTACCACGATTTTAGGGCCAAAAGTGAAAAATGTATTGAGTTCTGATCAAAAATGATATTTTTAACACTAGAACCGCCAATCGGGTCAGTTTGACCCAGAGCTGTTTTTTATTGTATGTAACTTTTTTTCAATAAAATATTAAAGTCTCCCAGTCCGTGACTTTTCCTGAAAGTGTGTTATGTAGCACCCTATGTTGTTAAAAATTGTCAATATGAAGTCAGATTGAAGAAATCGCCCAAAATATTGCCATTTATACCTATTTCCGCCAAGCGGGTCATATTGACCCCACCCCTTTTCATATAAACATGACGTGTTGCTATAGCAACGCCTTTTGTCTACTGCGGTTCCTTGTAGATTGAGAGATAGATTGAGAGAGAGAGAGATAGATGGATAGATATATTGATAGATAGTTATAGATAGAGAGAGAGAGAGAGAGAGAGATAGATGGATAGATATATTGATAGATAGTTATAGATAGAGAGAGAGAGAGAGAGAGAGAGAGAGAGAGAGAGAGAGATAGATGGATAGATATATTGATAGATAGTTATAGATAGAGAGAGAGAGAGAGAGAGAGAGAGATAGATGGATAGATATATTGATAGATAGTTATAGATAGAGAGAGAGAGAGAGAGATAGAGACAGTCTGTAGTGAAGGAGTGCGCTCCCGCTCACGGGAGACTGCTCGCGCTGCACTCCGCAGCAAACAGCTGTGGGGCGAGTTGAAAGCACGTTATGCTGGCCGGGGTGTCTAAATAATGCTTCCAGGCCAGCGGGCCATTTATAATGTTGAGCCCTGTATGAAAAGCTGAGAGTCCACAGATTCTATTGGTATACGTTTCATCCCTGTGCGATCAAAATTCACTGTTCAATAAAAGAACATTTGACCTTGAAAATCAATGCATTCTAATAGCGGGTCAATTTGACCCAGGTGGCGGTTTTAGGTATACAAAAACCTCTGGCGGTTCTAGTGTTAAAGTCATAATCCTGCAAAAAAAGGCAGAATTCAGACGAGTCAGAACTCCAATTAATAGTAGTAATAGATGTTATTTGTACCATTATGAAATGTACGAGAGGATCAAAGTTTCTGCCACTTTTCTTCTGTGTTCGTTCTAATAGTAATAGTATTAATGTCTCACACTTTATCTTCTTGCAGATCAAAATCAACAGCAAAGGCTTGATCTTCTCCGTGGGGCTCCTGCTGGCCTCTGTGTTCATGACTGTGAGTGACAGCACGTCTCATCACATACCTCTGAAACCCCTTTTCCACTGAGAGATCCGTTCTAGTTCCGAGCCGGGCTGGTTTGGTTCACAGTTAGTTCAACTTGGAAACAAGTTAAGATCCAATTTGCTTTTCCACCGACCAGCGCCTGAGAAGAACCACGTCATGACGTCACGTTTATGTTGATCCCCAGCCTTTGACTGATATGGCTCTTGGTTTTTGGTGCCGGCCGAGCAATTAGTTGGCCCCACATTCATCTAGTTGGCAGGCCAGAGAGCCGGAGTTGCTGCAGTGTAAACACAAAAAACACAAAAAAGTGGTTTGAAATGGGGCACCGGCTTCAAACTGTCTCTGGAACTGCCTCGGTGGGAAAGGGATATAATAGAGTTCTGATATCCGTCCATGTGTTTGTTTCATCAGCCCATTGATCTGTTAATCTGCCTTTTTACCACCCCCCCCATCTGTGTCTATCTCTCTGTCCAGGTCCTGGGAGTTCACCTCAACAAGTGGACTCTGGACAAGCGCCTGGGTTTCACGTGTCTCCTCCTCTACTCCGTCTTCCTGTGTGTCTCCTGCCTTATCGAGTACAATATCTTCACCTTCGTCAACCTGCCAACCTGCCGCGACGATTAGCACACACACAGACACGTGCACACATATACACTATATAAACGGTGTTTGCAAAGAATTCCAACACATTCCGACGATAGAATTAGACCCAGAAAGTATAATTCTTAATATATTTAACAGCGAGAATGATTTGCAAATACCATTTAAAACACACTCACTTACCTGCTTTTATGAGAAGATGTTATCTGCTGTGTCGGCTAGTCTTCGGGGCAGAGATAGAAATGACTGACGTGCCCTCACACAGGACAGAACTGAGGACAGGAGTCACCACTACTGCTTGCTCCTGACTTGAGGACCTTTATTTTGAAACTCCCTGTATTTAGGTGTGAAAGTAGTCATGTTTACTAGCTGCTAACCTTTCCTGAGAGGAAAGGTGGGTCTTTTAGATCTACTAGTTGAGAGTAATAATTATAAAAGCAATGATGTAAATAGGTGAGAGGGTGTAGATTAGCGCTGTGGTTCAGATAACGTTTTTTAAAACACAGTTAAGAGTGCAAATCTTCAGGCAAAGAACAGACAATGGTAAGCAGATGGGCCCGATTTTCAAACACCATTATCTTAAGACTATTGTTGATTTCCAACATGTGGACATTATTAAGTATTTTCAGTGAAACATTTTAAGAAACACAACCCCCACACAGAATCAGGGCATTATCAAAAAATATTCAAAAAGAACCCCTCAGCGTATTTTAATTTAAGCGGTTAGGTCAAAAACGAACCCTTTACCTCCTCATGGTTCTGTTTTCATGCTTTACAAATGTTAGTCTGTTTGGCCAATCATTGGAAATTTCAGAGACATTTTCAGGAAACTTGGCCAATCACAGGTGATTCCCAGCATAGGGAACAGCTACTCTTCAGAGATGCATACGGAAGATGATTGGGGCCACATGTGAAATTATTTTTGAGATCTTACCAAAACTAAAATTCCTTGTGAGTTCTGATAAAAAAGGTATTTCCTTTCCTTTCCTTTTCAGAGGTCTGCACTTTGATCTCAGAACTAAAAAAAAACATACATTTTTGCCGGATCCAAAAAGAAAATTCACATGTGGCCCTTATCAACTTCCGTAGGTTGGTAGAAGAATTCATTAATACCAACATTGACTCTCCATCTCTCTACAGATCTCTACAGTACTTTTACCTTCTTTGAGATCATGTTGCAGCACAGTTACGATGGTGTCCACATGGTGTCTTGTTTTTGGCGGAAAGGCTAACGCTCCTAGCCTTTTCATTGATGCTATGACAATGATTTATTGGCAATGTATCACCGCTTTTTTATGGCAGAATAGCATCTACCTTTTGGATTTTATTGTCTGTTTTCAGCTACTATATGTTAGTTTGATTTGATTGTTTTTTCACCACACTAAAAGATGCTAGCTCTCACACTTTGTATGAATGAGCTGCACCGCTCAGTCTGACAGCCGTAGAGGAAGATCTGCGCTCAGCGAGAAAAGTACAAGGGTCCGCCAGACTGATCGGTTCAAACAAACAGGCTTTTAGTCTTTGTTGTAATAGTTTCCGTCTGAGAGACACGGTGAAAAACAAGCTTCTCCCCTAATTTACCGTGACATCACCTACGCTTGTCCGAAAAAAAGATCAGAGCGCTTGAGAAAAAAGACGCTAGGTGCAACGCTGTTTCTCAAGGTGGCCGCATGCAAAAGCATAAGCTCTCTCCTCATTGGAAACAATTGAAAAAAGATGCTGCCGCTCAAAAAAGGTACTATGTGGACACAAGCCGTTAGCTGCTAGCCGTTGGCCGCTAGCAGTTAGCAGCGTACAATAGCATATTGTTCTCTGTATCTTTGCCTTTTTCTGGAGAACAAAATAACCTAAACCTTTTTGTCCAATAATGCCCACATTTAATTTCCTCCTCAAGCTTTACCATCAATAGCATCATAGTTGTAGCTCCTATATTTTTTACTGGGAATTAAATAGCTTTAAGGGGAGATTCTTCTTTATCTTCTGTAAATAGACCACCTCTGTAAATACCCCTAGATGTCATATTTATTATTTATTCATGTCATTCGCACATTTCCCCTCTGGAGGTCACAAAGCACCCGGGCAGGTTTTATTTATGGACCCAGTTGGCTGGAACCACTCGTGTTCGAACAAGCACAATTTCCTCGAAAAGGTATTTTGTCTTGTTGATTTTATTAATGACTTTTATGTTGTATGTGTGGATGTTAAAAAAAGAAATCAAACTTGCACTGAAGAGCTTAAACTAGGAGACTTTAAGTGTTTCTCCTGATGCGTGCTGATTATAAGGATGGCATCCTTGTAAAATGAAGCAGGTTTTATGAAAGAATTATGTTTTTTAGAGAAGTAAATGTTTTGGGAGATTGTTGCGGAGAGGTGTCGTAGTTTGCGCTGCCACCTAGGGACAGAAATGATGAACTGCTGCTTTTTTTCTCTTCTGGAAGACGCCGACCAAATAGACTGAAAACAGTGGTGGCATTATTTCAAACAGGTCGCACGAGGTACTTCCTCTGCGGTGAATTTCCTGCTACACTCGTGAGGTAAAGATGCAATACCAAGCATCAGGACTTTTATTCCAGCTCTAATACTCAAAGGTTGAGCGTTCAACTTTATTTTTATCCAGGAGTTCTTTGTATTTTGTAACGCCTAATGTCTAGATTTGTCCAGATTTGGTAGGTTTGTGGTAAAATTGAGATAAATATTCCTACTGTACTAGTTTTTTGGAGCATGTACAATGTGGTTCGTGAAACCCTACGGAGGATTTGTATTCAACTACTGGAGTCACACTATTCCTCAAAGACTTCCAGCACAGAAATGAACTCTTCATCGGTCAGATTCATCAAAATGTCAGCTTTCCTCAATTCTTTTTTTTTTTCAATGGAAGACAATTGCTAAAAAAGTCTGATTTGTTTCAGGGAAATGTTTAATTTATTGACGAGTATTATCAAATATAAGATCTGAGAAATATTGTCTTTCGAATGTGCAAATAATTTATGTTTGTTGTCAATATATCATATATCACATTTATTTATACAGAGGCAGAGTGCTATGAACGGAAAACAGGGTTTACGTGTGTCGCGAATCTTATGTAATGCAATAACTATGAGCTTATGTGTAAATATGCCGCTTTAATGATCAAAGACACATTAGTTGAACATGATGTCTGTCAATATGTGACTCTGTAACAGCATTCCTAACAAAGTTATTTATCAATGACTATACACACAATCACAGCAGGACTGTTATTAACATATGGAGCCCTACAACTCTTATCATGGTCAGTTCTTCCACACTGTATTATCAAATAATAATGGGACACGGAATTATTTAAGTTATTCTCAAATACTGTTGATTCTGGTTATAAAGTAGCCTGAAGCTAGGTTTTGAATTTGAGCCTTGAAATATATAACTAATTTCCCATTTTTTCAAATTATTTATTTGAAAGTTACTCTGAAATATCAAATTAATCTGGTGCTATTTATAGTGAAAGAGAATATTCTGAGATGGTATACAAAGTTTCATTTATTTGAAAAGGTTTTTGTAGAGTTTATAGAGATATCTATATCTGAAACAGCCCATGGGAAGCCCATTTCTGCCAGAAAAAGGATGAACATGAAATGTTGCAAAAATCAAATGAGATGCTGAGTCAAAAGTCTGATTAGGTCCTTCAAAAATGATGAGGTAGTCACATTGTGATAATGCAAGTCAACCTTTTGATGAATGATGCAATACTCATTTACAATTATGAATATATATTTTAATATATAAACATTTTTGACTTGCATTCTTTGGGTTTAAGTTAGTATGTCATCATTAAGCCTTTCTATGTAATACATCTCATCTCAAGTCACATTTTGAAGTTAAATAATGATATTACTTTCTTAAAATGTTGACTCATAATTACGTTATTTCAGATAATAACTAGATATGTGTTGAATTATCATGACTTCTGGTTTCAAATATGCCTCGCATTAATACCCTTAAAGATCTTCTAATATGAAGGAAAAATATGACACACATTCATTCAATCCAAGTGAGTTATACTTTATAATAGAGTGGTGCAGGAATGAGTCCTAAAACCCTGAAATGAGTTAGCATGTTACCATTTGTGGGTCCCTCGTCTCGAAGTCAATTGTTTTTTTAACCAGTTTTTTGGTGAGAAGCCTGAAATAAGATCTGTTGTTAACACGAGCTGAAGAGATTTTCATGTTTAGTTCTAGGACATAAAATACGTCAGTAATACCCCACTTGTGAATGTCCGAAGCTTTTATGTGTTATCAAAATGGTGGTTGCTAACAAGTGGATTAATAAACTACTAAACATCATCACACCAAATATTAGCCACACAGCTTAGCAGTGGTGACGCGCAACCATTTGACCATGATGTAGTTTGTTTATAGCATTACGTTAGCTTTTCATTACTGCAGATTGAATTCATGCTTCAGAAAGCACAACGTGATAATATGTGGAAATGATCCTGCTGAACAAAGTATCATGAACATGTGTTGGCCAAAGATCTTGTTTTTTTAAATATTCCAAAATACAATGTTTAAGTCCAATTGCTTTTTGTCAAGGGAGCCTTTTGCAATGCAAACATCCGGGTCGGCCTACAAAAATACATCATCAGTGCACCACTCGATAGGCATCATATTATGTTCTGAAGACATGGGACCAATCAAATAAAGTATATCTCTTTCGAAACCAATAATGCTGATGACTGTTCAAAGTTTAGTTTCAAGACAGTCTGTGTTTTAATTTAAATCAAGCAGCGGATCTTTAAGCATGTAGCATTCCTTGCTATTCCTAGCTATATTAACAGCTATTCACTCTATATGATACACTACTCTGGCTGAAACAACACTTGGTACAAGGCATCATCATTCGTTCATGTTTTGAAGTATTTTCAGTACCACAGGGCATTTTTTCAGAAATATCTGTATCACGCACTTTACCATTTAACAATTGATGGTACCGATGATTTGGTCGAATACATTCTGTGCTGCTATTCACTGTTTGTACCTGAACATATGGGTCTTTGAAAAACCAACCAAACTACTACATTTTGAAAAGAGGTGTCTTGTGTAGGAGATTTCTTAATAATGTTGTGATATTCACATTGGTGATATTGCTGATGTACATACTGTATATAGATAGGTGTAAATGTATTTATATATTTTTTGTCTCAACCTGTATATCTGTTGAATATATTTTCATAGATCCTAGGTGCCCTTTGTACCCCCCTTTGATGTGTTTGAGACCTCTGAAGATATTGTCCTTTGTTTACTCGCATGGAGATATTTCAATATGATAAATAATTTAAAGTAAATCTTAATGTATATTGGGATGAGGGTTCAACACGTTTTTTAGATGGCACTGGATTTAGTTTGAACTGGATATCCTAGATGACTGCATGCTGTTGCTAGTACGGGATATAAGAGATAGAGAGTGTGAGTGTTTGCAGACGATACGTTTCTCTGTATCTAAGCTTTACCTCTTCATACACAAGAAAACTTTTCAACATAGGTTTACTTTGTGTTTAGATGTTTTAAATGTAATTTTGAGAGATTATTGTGCTACCTTAGCATTAATAAAGTTGTCTTTGCTTAAGGAAACACAAGCCTTGTCCTGTGGTACGTTTTTATTGGATATACAAACTCACACATGCATGCAGAGATTCCTTTAAAGGACTGACAAGTACCTCTTATATTGTCACTTAACGGTAATGTATACTTGCACACACTCCCTGTTTAAGTGTATACTTTCGCTTTGCCTTGTCATAGTTTTTCTCTTTGCAGATATCCCATAGATACGGATGTGGAGCTTTTGATGTACAGTCATAAGAGTTGGGAGGGTTACTTTAAAGGGGACCTATCATGCAAAATGCACTTTTGCACGTCTTTTATACATGAATATGTGTCCCCGGTGTTCCAGGGAACTCACCAAGTGTCAGAAAACACAACCCTCTCTATTTTCCTCCATACCCAAATCTCTAAAAAAGGGGCTGCAACGGATCTGATAAAAACTGATCCAGATTTTAACACTGTCCTGACGTCAGGACAGTGGCGCTACGGCTATTGGGCCAACTCCACCAATCAGGAGTAGACAGCCGTTCGAAAGGCCTGTAGATGGTGCTGTTCTCACAGAATCAGCCCTTGCAAAAACAGAGCTAACATTTTTCCAATTGAGCGAAATGAGGCATGGCTAAAATGCATGATCTGTTTGGTATTTTGAAAAAAAAAAAGTATAAATATGCCTTATATAGGTATGGTCCTACACTATATTATTCAAATATAGCATGATAGGTCCACTTTAAAGAAAAAAAATATGTAACAATTACCTGTAAAAAAGTGTTTAAAAAAAAAAAAGTAATGTAACCTTATTACTTTCCGTTACTTTCGGATTTGGATACTTCAATATCAAATGCAATGAAAAAAAGAAAAGGAAAATCTGATGTTTTTTTACCAAAGTGATTTATATAACACAACAGAACAGTGTGCCCTTAGAAAAGAAGAAACCAAGATATTTAGGATCAGAAAAGTGTGCTCTGCTCAGAGATTTTATTTATAGTAAAGCTGCCTTTCATTCAGCATATTCAGGCAGTAGCTTAAACACCAACACTGAAACACATGAGCACATACTACAGTTTAAAAAAGCAGAAATTAAATCTGAGCTGAGAGAAAATGCTCCGTTTTAGTTTAATACACACAGTTAAGCTCACACACACTATTTTATGAACATATAGGATCACCTGCTGAATTAAAAACAGAACAAATGAAGCAAAGAAAGTGAAAACCATAAAGCAGATTCAGGCAGTAGGCGTATAGATTCACACTTAAAGTATTATCCTACAGAACAGTACAGCTGACAGAGAAGAGATAACATCTGATCCTTTACAACAAACACTATATGCTCTTTCTAGGTTTTTAGTAACACTGTAATCCTGCTAGTTATCCCCAGTTTTTATTTATTTAAAAGTATTCTGATTACGTATTTTTTGTTTATGTAACTGTAAGAGAATACAGCTATCTTTTTTGTATCCTTATTACATATTCCCATTACATGTAATCCGTTACTCTCCAAGCATGAAAGTCATTAGGATACATCATTGATGCACCATGAAGGTCATTACCAACTAATCCATCATCACTAAACTGTTAACCAATTGAACTACTTTCATTGCATTATTAAAAGAAGAATACTGTATACTCTGGGTCTTAGACTTTTATATTTATAGCTTATATTACCTCAATATAATTATAACTTTTCGTTATTTTCTCCAATAGATACTTTTTTGTTATTTTAACTACTGGTCATTTTCAGCATTTATCATTTTAATTTTTTTAATCTAAATGACAAAATGTTTAATTTCGAATTTGGGAGAAATGTTTTCAGTGCTTTATAGAATAAAATGAAAATGTTTACTCAACTACATACCAACAACACTGAAGCAATACCCCCAACCTGTAGTTCCATGAGTGAATTATGATAAACAGTGATCACTACACAAGTCCCCCCAGAATTCTTCTTTTTTAAAACTGCCATAATTCCCAAACCCTACATTCTTGAGACATAATTTTTCATGACAAACGTAGGAAAACATCTCGTAGCTTGAAAAATGACAAATAATTAAGCAAAAATAATTAAACAAAATGCCTCTTGAGGGCATGAAGTGACAAAAACGTTCAACATGTCTCCATTAAAACCCATTGTAATTTCAGGCTGATATTTCCTCACAGCAGCAGCCGCACACCTTTAGTTAAACTGCCAAAAAGGCCACATTATTAACCCGAAAGTACACAAAGATTACATTTCTCTCTCTCTCTCTCTCTCTCTCTCTCTCTCTCTCTCTCTCTCTCTCTCTCTCTCTCTCTCTCTCTCTCTCTCTCTCTCTCTCTCTCTCTCTCTCTCTCTCTCTCTCTCTCTCTCTCTTGCCACACACAGACGCACACACTCTCTCTCTCTCTCTCTCACACACAATGTTCCAAACGGCCCAAAACTTCACAGGTTTGGTAACGATGCAGCCATCAACGCATCTAAGCGTATTATGGGGTGTCATCAAATGCCGTTGCCATGGCGACAGATCATTCGCCATCAAGTTAGTTGAAAAGTTTGCAGTTCAAATATTCTGCTGCTTTTCCAAGCCTTTTTACTTTATTTTCTTCACTCGTCACACATTCAAGCCCCCAGTGTTCATGTATCATTTCAATCTAAATTCTTCACTTTCTTCTTACACATTACATTTCAGCATAGCAGTTTAGCGTCAGCTTTTCAGCATAAAGCATTCCCACTAGCAATTTCTTCAGGAATTGCATTCTCTAGTTTATTTATGTTATGCAAACATATCAATAATCCTACAGTGAAAATACAAAATTATTTCTCCCAAAACTCATCAAAATGTTACTGATTGCATTTTGTGCTCTAATACTGCTATCTAGTGGGCATTTAGGTGAACTTCAATTATTCGATTCCCATCCATAGCTCTAATTTTTATAAATAATGTTTTGTCCCTTTAGACATTCAAATGATATACCTCTAGTTCTAAATTGGGTAGTAAAATGTATTAAGTCCCGTTGAATAACATTTCTGTAGATTAATCCCTGGTTTATTCGGTTTATTCACACACACATGAATTGAACAATTCATTCAGAGCCAGGCAACAGAAATGAATTGGACCCAACCAAGTGCTCAATTGGGAAGGGGTGGGAGGAGGTCACAATGGTTTTCCTTGACAAACGGAAGTAAATATAAAATAAATAGTAAAAAAAAAAGGGTTCATAAAATAAAACAAACTGCATAAATTCCTAGGAGAAGACACCACATTCCCCGGAGATGTAACGACTACACTCTCAAAGGTTTGGTACGGATTATTTCTCTCTTTTGCAGTGTGTATGTAGGACTGTACGTTTTGGTCCAATCTGCGTTACTGTTGCCTTATGGGAAACGTAGTTCGGTAGCCGCTCCCAATGTTCTTTCAACATTTGGGTGACGTTTGTGCAACGTGGTATTGGAAATTCCTCACCTTCCGCTTCTCTTGAGTGAAGAGCGTCAAGAAACGTTATTAAACGGTTTGGAAAGGTTTTGGGAACGTATGAGAAAAAGTTAAATGGAGCACGATAATGGGGATAACCACAACTGGCCGGTGCAACGACGAGAGGAGGGTTTGGTGAACAAACATATGGCAGACATTGCTCGGGAGAGCCTCCAGCAGAGGCTGTGTGCCGGGGAGATGCACAGTCTGACCGAACGAGGCTCCAGACGCTCAGGGGAAGAGTTCACAGACGAACCCCGGCGAAGGGACGTTAGTTTCGGGGAAGAGCCGCCGCTTTCCACCGCCTGTAGCTCCGGAGCTGACAAGTTACTCTCTGCCCCACCATCCACAGGTCATTCACTGCGAATTGCGAAACCCTGGAATAGTTTTGTGTTGTATTTATGGCAACAATTTATTTTATCCTCAAAATACTATTTCTGCTATTCTTTTATACATTTGCTGTATTTCAAGGTGTAATACATTTGATATTTAAAATTTGTAACTGTATTATATTCACAAGACATATTCTATTTATTTGATATTGTTATTGATGGTTTCATTTTGGTTTGTTTTGTTAGTAGTATTCCTATCTGGGGATATGTACAAATGTTGATATCAATATTTGGAACTTATTTATTTCATTCACATACGTACGCCCTTAAAAAAGCACATAGTAAATAATGATGCTCACCTTTTTGAAAAAAACGAAATCATACATTTCATAAATGTATACTGAAGGTCGTGCTTTGACAGAAATTATGAGATAGATTGAGATAATTCATTTAGACTGAAGAGATGTGATCAATAATATCTTCGAGACTATCATTTCCAGAGTAGTAAAAGTGTTAATGCCTAGAAATGTAATAAAATATATATGTTAACAAATATCCAGTGACAATGTAACACAAATGTTATATAATATGTTCTGAGCATTAAATAAGAATTCTGAGATTAAAGTCAGATTTCTTTTTTTTGTATTCATACTGTTTTGCTCAGAATTCTGGCTTTTTTTTCAAAAGATTCTGAGTTTAATCTCAGACTCTCATTTGGCACCAGTGGCGTATCACTCCAGCAATCAGTGGGAAAGCAAACAGGTTAACTAGCATTGAACTCGAACAGTACTCATTTAGGTGGAAAAGAGGTCAACTTCTCTCCAACTCTTTTTCTCTAGAGACTGCTGCTCAAGGGAAGATCATCGCCCTGCTGGTGGAAATCAAAGAGGAGCAGCAGAGGCAGTGGGCGGTGCTGAAGGATCTTCAGGCCAGACTGCCGGGTCAGAGCAGCAACGAGGAGGAGGACGTGGAGGATCTGGACATGGATCTCCCCCTGAGGACCCTGGAGCAGCTGGATGAGATGGAGAGGCAGCTGGAAGAGACAGGAAGTCAAAAGAGAATGGTAGTTCAAATGACATGTACTGTGATGCTTAATCATACTGGTACTTTGCTGTGTGAATGCTCAGGGCCTTCTGTTATGTTGACGTCTTGTCCTAATTCAAGGTGTCGTACCTGTCACGGATGGGCGGGGCTACGGTTGACGACGCGGTGAGACGTCTGATGCAGTCTGTGCTTACATTCGCTGTCGGCTCTGAGCTCAACTGGGTGGGCCGAGGCCGGAAGAGAAGCTTCAGGAACACTCGCCTCCAGGGAGTGCTCTTCTGTAAGTAGGCATTGCTACCTGAATCTACTTAAAGATGCCCTGTTATACGTCTTTTCCTTTCCTGTGGTGTGTTGTACAGGTTTTTGTGGATATTACTGGTCTGCAAAGGCTAAAATCCCAAAGTTCCATTCAGAGGGAGTTTCTCTCCCACACACTCCCCCCCCGCCTGAAAGGCCTCCACTGGAAACCTTTGTTTACTACCATAACATAGTGACAGACTATGGGTGAAGAGACTACATTTTCGCAAATTTCTCAATTTAACGAGAGGTTTGCCACCTTTTTATGTGGATGTCCAACCAGGTCTAATTGTAAATGAAGGCAATTAAACAACACATTCTTCAGTTTGTGCTTTTATCCAACAATGAAAATGGCATTCCAAAATATGAGTACCAAAATTGTTATGGACTAGGATATATTTAAAAGTATCCTGGCTCATAATATTCATATTATATATATATATATATGAAGTGACATAGAAATGACAAAAGTGAGCCCGAAACTGCTACAATGCAACTCATTTCTGGGTTAAGCACTCATTCATACACTATCAATAGCAATCTTATAGCCAAATCCTCTTAGTTTCAACTGACATATTTTATTATTTGGATTATTAAACAGGTAGTTTGGTATGGTTTGTAGTGTCTTTATCTGTATCTGAAAGTAAATATATGGAGAATGATGTAATGATGGTTAATAAATAACACTGATCTGTACAAAGGTTAATGTCTAGCTTCTCCTTTTAGGTGCTCTGAAACGCACACCGGTGGGTAAAGAAGCCACACACCATCAGTATGCTGACGTGGTGAAGAAGTGGCTGCGCTTTGCTCCGTTCAGACAGGGGGGGGGCGGGCGGCGCTGCTACAGAGCCCCTGTGGAGTTTGCAGATTCTGAGGAAACAGACAATTCTAACCAAAGCTCCACACGATGACATTTATCTCACTTATCAGGTATCACACAAGTTTCAGAATGAGGCATTCACATGTTGAAAAAAAAAAATGTGATATTATTATGTTTAAGACACAGCACACTGTACACTTCTGGAATGTTTTGCTAATAGTGCAAATATGTCCTTTTAAAGAGCCTAAGAGGAGACATTTCCTCTATCTCAGTGAGCTGTGTTGGAGAAAAAAAACCTGGCACTGGTGAAGAACTTGAAAATATAAACATTTGATGACACTATTGTAAGTCAAAGTCAACTTTAATGTTAATCTTACTCAGTTTGTGTTTACAGACAGAGAGATCGAAATGACGTTTCCAACATTCCCGAATATACAAATTATACAATATACAGATATGTATACAAATATGTATAAAATATGTATATCCTACACAATCAACAGACACATTTACACATATGCACACATTAAGATAAAAAACACAACAATCAATATAATATATACAAAATAACAGTCACTTCAATATCAATATCTTTGGTGCAAGATTGTCCATAGAATGTGCATTTATTGCAGATTTCCCTCAAAAGTATTGTTCAGTGTATTAGTTTACATTGCTTATTAATGGGTACTGCTTTGAAATCAAACTATTATTTTCTGTATTTTTCTGTAAGTATTGTTTCATCTCTTGAACACCAACAATAATGTGCCCTTTTTATAATTTTTTATTTGTGAAGTGCATGTTCACAGTTTGTACTGTAGGAGGCGACAAAATTCAAAGATTTGTCTCAAAGTGCTTTAAGTTGAGAGGGGGTTATTTTCTCTCATCCCTATCATCTCCTGCCTTAAAATTAAAGGGTAACATTTGATAAAAATGTGCAATTGTCAGTAAACTGAAGATGATATTTTACAGACTCTCCATGACAGTTTCCACGTGTCCTTGTGTCTCTTTTGGATTTGTTTGTTGTGGTTTTTTTTAGCTTTTTCTTCCAACTACAAGGTGGAAAAGTCATGATTTTGTAATAATAATTCTATTACATTTTGTTAAGTTTTTCATATTTAGTATTTGTATTTTTTTCCTCTACATAAATTAAATTTCTTCAACATTTATCCACTTTGATAATAGTGCTAGATTTCAATATAAAAAATACGTAAATACAATACATTTAGAGGTGAAATAATGCTCCCTATTTCTTTAGAGCATGAGGCTTAAAACAACACATTGCATCTTTTAAAATCATCTGAATTGCATGGAACCATTACAATAATCAGATAAATATAATTGGTATAAAATACCCGTGTTTCAAATTGTTATATTTATTTAGCAGTGGGCAGTGGCACTATCACCAACTCACAAATAAAAAATAAAAAATTCTATCTCAGTGATGCACAATTGCCCTTTATTAATTGCGTTTAGGTTTGCTGATTGGTCATCATCATCATGCTCTTCAAATATAAACTCAGGGTCGGAGTCATGGGGGGTCATTAGCGGGCCATGCCCCCCCAAATGAGTCACTGTTCCCCCCCAACTCAGGGCGGGCAAGCCCTGCCACTTTGCCGTTTTTTTTTTTTTTTATCATATAAGTGAAAACGTTTCCACTAAAAGTTTTTGGTGTGAAATAAATCAGAAATAAAGAATACAAATATAAAACACAGCCTGAGGTGTGCTCACTGCTGCTCTCTGATTGGTGTTGCTTGACCAATGACCCTCGACTTTTGTTTTGTTATCATTACGTGGCTGTGTGTTTAGCTGAAAGCCCAGTGGCGATCTGTTCACCTTTATATGATCATTATAGTTATTAAAAAATAAGAGATTAAATGAAAAACAGGTATGAAATACTATAGGACAGTAACACAAGAATACAATTTAAAAGGGGAGTGATTAGTAAAATATCCATAAAGAAAAGTAAATCTGTTTACAGTTCTGTTTCATATGGATGCTGAGAGATGTAGGCTATCCATAGATCTCTTAATTGTGCTTTCAAAGTGCACCAGATTGATGCATTTAACTTCAATATTTAAAAAAAAATCTTCCCGGGGGAGCATGCTCCCAGACCCTCCTAGAGGAGGTTAGGTCCACCCCCCACCTAAAACATGTTCACATGGATAGGATACTAAATACATTTGCACACTTTTTATATGGTGGCCTTTGTCCATATGTTTCTGTTTTGGTGGTCGTGCCACAACCGTGCATGTATGCACAAGTCATAGGTGCGCTATAAAATAGCACTACACCCCTGCAATGTGTGGGAAAGACAATAGACTTTACAGCATGTTTTTGTAAATTGAAGTTGCGTTGGTGTTTGTGTGTTGGTTGTTGACGGCAGTGTGTGCCCCCCCGTGGTAAATGATTGCCCCCCCATTCGATTTGTTCTAGAGCCGAGCCTGCATAAACTACATGGTCTTATTCCTATTTTTTTAAGTGCATCTCAGTTTGTTGTTGTTTCTCTAAACTGGAGCCAAGCTTTGTAGAGGGATCTTCAACTTTTTTCCCAGACGGAACACGTGATATGGAAGTTAATGCGGTTTGTTTTTGTTCCTTTGCAGTGCTGCGGGGGGAAGGAGGCAATGGCGTCAAGTTAGACATTATGCACAGAAGAAGAAACCCCCCGGAAGTAGGGCGGGCTTAACTTTAAAATAAAAGCATGAGATTTGAAGCAAAAAATATTCATGAAAAAAATGCTGCTGCATTTAAATGTCATCATGTCACACGTGGCATCATTGTGGCATTAGACCACGTAAATATCGGAAATGAGTTTTTATTAGATCAACTGTCACAAATGTGGCTATAGCAAAAATGTTATACATAATATTTTTTATCACGTTTGCTGCATGTCACGTGTTGGTTAACTGATCTGACTTATGGCGCATTACCACTACAGCACGGAGCTCGCTTTAAGCGTGCTGTGCCCGGCCCGTTTTTGGTTGCGTTTCCACTTGGCGTAGTTCCGGCTAGCGGGTACTATTTCACAGTTTTTCTGGCCCCATAAAATCGAGGTTCTTTCCGGGCCAACAACCAGGCTGAGTCGGGCTGAGTATGCTAAACTAGAGAGAGAATCGCTGGCAAGGGGGCTACAACTACAACAAAAAGAACATATTTGACCGTGATTTAATTGTAATACACGTTTCAAAATGATGCCGAAGTAACAACATACTGATACCGGTTAGTAAAAACCATGAATTAATGCTTTGACAAGTCTGCAGACAGACGGCAGGCAAAAAACCTTTTAAAATGCGTGTTTTCTAAATGGAGATTGGCTAAACTAACGCAGTATATGCTCCGACCGTCCACACTCACAACAACGGCCTATACAGACATAAATAAACCAGCGACTGTATTCACCATGACACAGACAGTCTGTGGTTTGCACTTGTTTAACTTTTGTCTAGTTTCTGAACAGATATGAGGAGCTGTGAGCTTGAGTGCTAACAGCTAACGGCTGATGTTGTTTTTCTGTGGTTCTCATTGAAGATGACGTCACGGCTCCGCCTACATTGCGTTACTATAGTTACTGCCCCAGCTACTAAACTGTAATGGAAACGCAGCATAAAGTGAGCCAGTCCTAACAAGGCCTAACCAGGCCTAGCCATACCGAGCGAGGCCCTGTAGTGGAATTGTGCCATAAATCTCCCTTGTTAATTAATCTAAGAAAGAAATATAGTAGAAAGGTAAGGCAAGTTTATTTATAAAGCATATTTCAAAACAAAGCAATTTAAAGTGCTTTACAAAAACAAAAAAGGATCCCAGGAAGTATAAATTAGGCTCTCACTAACTTAGGGTATCATCGTTTATAATGGAAAATAAACATGTCATCTTATTATTTTTCCAGGGTAAGTGAGTGGGCAAGTTTAGTAAATGAAGTACGTTTTTTTATTTTGAAAAGATTAACCGGAAGTCCTTTCTTGTTGTTAGAGTTACACAGAACAACGCAGACAGCTGCTCCTCAAAAGAATGTAGGACCATGGAGGTATCCCCCGGCACAACACTGGATATATTTACCTGTTTTTTCCTCAGTTGAAGGTATGAAAACACGTTTGAAACATCACAACTTCGCAGCATGGAGCTATAATGCAGTTTACACGTGAAGAAGCAACTCGTCGGAGCAGCGGAGTTTTCTTTGGTCAAACTGGAATTACACTCGCTCCGTAAACAGGCAAGAGAAACCTTCCCTTTGTTTTAACATTTTGCGACACCTTTACAGTGTTTTGTTTCTCTCTGTAGCTAACTTCTGAACTCAAATTCTGCCCAGTCTCTTGAAAAAGCTTACTTATCAGTCATATGGTCATTATTTATTGTTTCACCTTTAAATATGTGGAATCCTGCGGGACTTGTTGTACGAGTTACCGCCACCTGTTGCACGACGTCACTGCTTTAACCAAAACGTAAACGCACCAATTATTGTTAATAAATGTGTGTTGCTCCGCGGAGTCACAATAGCATCAGTGGTGGAAAGTAGCTATATATTATATTTAAGTAACTCAAACCATGAGTGTTTTGCGAGAAAATGAATTGGCAGCAATTTTGCTAAGACTTATTCTGTAAAAAAACATTTCACACTTCCAGCTTTTTAAATGTGAAGATGCTTATAAATATTTCAATATTTTTGAGTTTTTTCTGCAATGAGTACATAAACTCCTTGTACTTTAAGTATAGGGTCCTAATCTTACTTAAATGCTTTTACTTAACCTTGCAAAGTTAGTAAGCATCTAAACAGAAGTGCACAAGAAGCAGTAAAGTGCAATGGTATGAATAGTATACTATAAGTATACATATGGCAGATATAAAAAGTTAAATTATATACAGTATGTATGTATAAACACTATAAAAAGTAGTATAGAAATTGAATACATTAGAGACACTTGTGTTTATAATATGAATAAATATGAGTACGCTTAAGCGGTCTGTTCCTTTACCCTTCAGTCCATGGCCAGTTCAGTATTAAAAACAGATTTAGATTGAGTTTGTTGAATCTGTTAATATACTTGTACTTGGTTATCCGTTTTGAGTGTGGTTCATTGTCTTATAACACATTTACACAAAAGATACAAAGCTTTAGTCATGTTAAGAAAAGTTTTAAAGATACAAAAGTGCAATGTAGAACCCATATTTAGTTTGAATGATAAATTGGATTTAGGAGAATAATGTAAATGTTTCATTCAGCCTAAAAATGCACCTTCTGTGATGTTTTTTTACTTGGGACCCAAGACTTTACTTTCTTTTGCTCACATATTGGCATGTCATCTATTTTCTTTTTCCAGACTGCTGTTTAAAAGTTGTTTCCAAGCATTTGCAAGCTTGTCAGACTAACCCTAAATTGTGTCACCAGCTTCGCACATCATATCATCTTCCTTCCTTATTCTCATTGGAAAAGCCAGTGTTTCCTGATACAGGCAAAGACTTTGGGGTTTTCCAGTCTCTGCAGATTGTGTACCTCCAACATGAGTCACAAGTCAGGAATTAGAGAAAAGTGCATTAGTCTGGCAACCTGGTCTGTATTTAGACCCCCTTTTGAATGTCAAGCTAGTTCTCTGTCCTCTGTTTTGTCAATTGGGGTTTCAAGAGGTCACATTGGATTTTCACATATTGATGTAGTAACATTCAAATGAATACATATAGAGAATAAAACAGCAGGAAGGTCACCACTTGAATGAGAATACCGGGCGCTGTACAATAGCTGCCCACTGCTCCTAGAACTACACTGTGTGTGCTCTGCATGTGTGACCATTAAAGAGGGTTTCATCCGTCTGATTCTGATTCTTCTTCTTCTTCTTCTTCTTCAATACAACGAAAAAGTAAGTTAATCAAACCACAAACAAGGTATAACACAAAGAATGTCAATTACACAGGGGAATACCAATAACCAATCAAATGTGACAAAGGGACCTAGGGCCTATTTGTTCTCTTATTTAAATAGATGAAAAATGCCCTAATCCATGAGTAATGAGAAGGGGGGAATTTGAGGCTTAAGCTTATTAAGAGAGTCACAAAGGCTATGAGTTGTTTTTATTTTGGGAGTTTCAGAATTATAGGGATAAAAGCTACTATATACTCTGGAGATGTGAAGGATGCATTGGTATAATATATCCGAAGTTAGAATTATAGCTATAAGAGCATTGTTGTCCCCTAATTAGTGTCATGCACAGTTTTTTCAAAAAGCAAACTGTTGGCAAAGCACGTTTCACCAAACAATTGAATTTAGATCTGACATATCATAAAAAAAAATAGCATATTGCTGAATGTTACAATTGATCAATCACAAACGAGCATTCAACCAGGCCGTGTAATATTTGTTCGATTTTGCCTTCCCACAATTAAATGAAAGCCTGCAATATTGACGTTTAAATGCGTGCCCCCCTCATAGAAATCTCCACTGCATAACAAACAATATTAACTGCATACCATACCAGTTCTCAACTTTACATTTTTATTAAGCAGGGATTGCAGGTTTGCTTCACAGAATACTCCGGGGAAATGGCACTGTGTATATTGCGCCTTTTTGAACTTTTGGCCGTTTTACTGTAAGGACCAGAGAAGGAGACACACAGGCATGATTCAGTTCCCTATTTTGTGTGTTTCTACTGCAGAGACCCACACGATTTGTTAAGATGTATCACTGTGAGAGCCATGCAGTATATGACTAATTGTCAAAGAGTTCAGATAGCGTACAATCTCTTTGTATGTATAGATGCATGACAAATGAAATGACATGCCTCAGTCCTGCTTTTCCCACTCTACCTTTCCACAGGTTCTAGTTCCTTAACACTAGAACTGCCAACGGGTACATTTTACCCGCAGCTGTTTCTTGATTGTATGTAACTGGCCCAAAAAACTGGCCCAAAAAATGCCCATTTATACCCATCAGCGCCAGCGGGTAATATTTACAGCCCACACACCTATCAATCATCAAACCGTGGGGTCTTATTTCATTACCTGTTGATTTCTATCAACACGTAATGTTGTATCCATGGATATATAAAGAGAAGTTCTACCGCAAAATTATTCTCCGTCGGGACTTCCTGCAACAACACCACGCCGTTATCGTGATTCTGATTTGCCAGAAGACATTATCAAAGATCTTTTATTGAGAAGACGATCACTACGTGACAAAAGTTTTCAAAACCGTTTCTAGTCTTCAGCATTTCCAGACAAGTGGCTACTGAAATCAATCTTACTAACTGCTGTCTGTGCAATTTACTCGGTTAGTTGGCGGACTTTTTTTTGCTTACTTTAACATAATTGTTCATGGTGGGGCTAAGCCATTTCTAGGTATGGCTGTAGCCTACCCCAGCCATACCCTGGAGCCGCCACTGCACTTTGCACATAACTCACGGTAGCAATCTTTTATACTTCATGCACAAACTAGATATCATATGAAAGCTGAGAGTCCACACATTCTATTGGTATAAGTTTCATCACTGTGCGATGAAAACTCACTCTTAACCCTGTGTTGTAATATGATAAATAAAAGAACATTGTACCTTGAAAATCAATGCATTCTAATAGCGGGTACATTTTACCCGTTGGCGGTTTTAGGTATACAGCGACCCCTGGTGGTTCTAGTGTTAAAGTCTCACTCACTTGCTCACCTCTTTCCACTTTTCCTTATCAGCCCTGCAGTATATAACCGTCCCCACCTTATCCATACCAGATTGCTGTTACGTGCACTTGCTTTCCAGTTCCTTGGACCATTGCCCTTTAGCCCTATACCAATATTGAGATGGAAATTCATTTTAAATAACTGTAACCGTCTTAGAGAGACAGATTATCACAGGCCATTAGGAATGTCAATTTAATATGCTCTGCCTGGACTATTATTGAGGAAATCACATATACATCAACCAAAGAAGTGCACTACAAGAAGAGGATCATTGCCAACATATAATCCCTACCCCCTGCTTTACTACTCCCACTATCCTTCCTACTTCCTGTCTCTATGTCATATCCCCTCCCTCTGAGGTAAACCCTGCCCTCCCTCCTAACCCTCCATCCCCCTCAACGTGCTCTGCCCTAAGCAAACTTATCTTCATAAAACCTGTCTGTTCACAAAGAAAAACTCTGTGAAACTCTTGAGCCCAACCACAGAGAAGGCCATAGAATTCCTGTCCAGTGGAGAGTTTGTTGGTGTGAAACATATCCTCATCCACACCTGATGACATGACCCCACCAGGAGAAACAGTGTTATACCCACAGCACTTTGGTTGCTGACAAAAATAGCCATCAAGGACTTCCCGCCTGATTATGTAACAATATCCACATATTCTCTAGGTCAGACGTTCAGACCAAAACATTACTCCCATTATTAACTTTAGGAGATGTGCCCATCTCCCTTATGTGGCACACCAAAGTGGAATTAATTACCAGCACCTGTTTGATCACATCATTCCACTGACAGAGGGGTAAAACTTCTAGCACAAAGCCTCAAAGGGACAGCTCTGACCATGGACCCGTTTCCTCGATCTCCTCAAGCAGTTTTAGAATGCGCTTGTTAAAAACAGTCAAAACTAGGGATGAATCAATGCATTGGCTGAACTTCGGCATTGGATTTTAGCCTCATTTTTAGTGATCGGCAATAAGGTGACATGCAGTGATTTCAGTAGCTGTTTAGCTTCATCTTTGAAGCATCTGTTTTGCTTAGCCATGTGACTTGGTACCGTCTCAGAGGTTGCCTCCATTTTTTTTAAAGACAGAAAATCTGTAGTCGTTCCGTCATTTTGAATGATTAATAAACTGACTGAGGGGGATGTATCAAAAGTAATTCAGAGGGTGTCTCCTCTCCTCTGTGAGATGCAGCTGCTGCAGAACAAGCGTGTGCTGCAGGATCTACTTCCTGTTAATCACGCTTTTTTTAAATGATTGGTACATGAAATTCAACGTTCAGAGAGGCTGAATTGGTACTGCTCATTCAGTCTGCCGTGTAGCTAGCCCTCAAAACAAGACTAATATGGCCCCCAATAAATCGTCTGTCCGATCACCAAAGCTCTTTTACACTACATTGTACTCTTCCCAAACACATTCAAACACTGACGACAGGGCTGCCTTACACGGTGCCAGACTGTATCATTTAATCTTATACTCAGTCACACACACTCGTTCACCAATGTATATGCCTTCAGGAGCAATTTAGGGTTCAGTGTCTTGTCGAAGGACACTTAAGCATGGAGTACTGGAGATCAGACCTCGCATCTTCTAGTATATTATTCTTTGTACCGCCTGAGCCCCTGCCAAGAAAGAAGTCCCCCCACTCAGCTGACCCTTAGTTCACTTTCTGACCCTGTTCTGCCATTCTGCCAACAAAGAAATCAACATGTGGTCATGCCAATAAAGCCTTTCAATTTGATTTAGAGAAAGGTAGAGAAAGAGTTGGGTCTAGGTCGACACAAAGAGATCAAAGCTGTGATCATTAAAAAAAATAATAATTTGGAATTCCAGGTGAAGTGGCTCTATAAAAACCTGGGCCATTTCTGTCTGTAGGTCACAGTATGAAAAATGCAAACAAAGAGACTCGGGGGTAATTTAGTGTATAACTGACAGTTTGACTTAACTGACAACCACAGGGCCTTACTGTTTACCAGGCAAGGGCTGTGAGTCACACACAGGCCTGCAGCAAGGCATGAAAGTGCACACGCACATCTCCAAAAGCCCCCTCTACTGCTTTGTTTTGACTAGAGGTTGGCCCCACAGAGCCCCACTGGAGATAGCATAGTAGGAAGAAGTGCAGAGTGAGAGAGAGGAGGAAAAACCCCAGCAAGGTTACATACCTTATAGCAATTTGTGGCTTTTGTGGCTTTTGCTTTCCAGTAAATGAAACTGTTCACCTTTCTGTGGGATACACATGCCACTAAAAAAAACGAAGGGATGCACCAATTGTAGGGGTATAACGGTTCACAGAATTCACGGTTCGGTATGTACCTCGGTTTGGGGGTAACGGTTCGGTACGGGTTCGGTACAACAAGAAAAAGCAAAAAAAAGTCCCAAATGCATAATTCCGGGTTTGTTATTATTTTTGAACAGTAGTGCAAGTTTCAGTATAAAAATAAGGAACTCTAACATTTTGAATAATTAACTGTATTACACAGTTAAAAACAAACCACAAACAGTACCACACACACTCAGATGGCCATATTTCCTATAATGGCTGATGTCAAACAAAAAGGTTTCATCAAGCTGTAAAACAAAAAAGAATGTCTTGAAAATATTACAAAATAAATAATAAGAAAGTGTTTCAAGGGCGCATAGCCGTTGAAATATATATATGCTCCGTTATTTCTTTTGGTCTCTCGGCTTTCATGTCTATTGGCTTCTTAAAAACAGCGGGGATAAGCTGTTGAACTGCTGTTGTCTTTTGCCGGGCTCCGGTGATTGGCAAATCTAGGTGATGCCTTCTGATATGATTTAGCATGTTTGGCGTGTGTTACCATTAGGGGTGTAACGGTATACGTATTCGTACCGAAAATATTCGGTATGGGCCCTTCGGGTCGGTACACGTGTGTACCAAAGTGTACCGAACGAATATAACGTTAAACGTGAAAAACCTTTAGGAAGTAATCTCAGGTGCTGCGTTGCAGCGTTCAGTGTAATTTGCTCACATTGGGTTCAACGCGTCATAGAGCGACCAAGTCATTTCATTGGACGAGAGGCATACGAGAGCTGGTCACAGGGATGCGTTCAGATGTTGTCAGTAGTTTGAGGAACTGGCGAAATGGCGAACGCAGATAAAGTTGAACTAGAAAATCCTCCAGCATCATTGAAGTCTCCGGTTTGGGGACATTTTGGTTTCACAGTTATGTACAAGGATGCTGGACAAAGACAGGTGGACCGAACCAAAGCTGTTTGTCGGCATTGTTCAACTAAAAGTGGTTACGTGGCTGGCAATACATCAAACTTGCACACTCATTTGAAAAGGCATCACCCGAACGTGAATATCACCTGTACCAAAATAAACCCGCCCGGCAATACCGCCCCCTGGATTATATATAGTGTAATGGATACTGCCCTGAGTGACAGACTTTTTTCCCTTCATAAAAAAAGGCGTATTCGTCGTGTGACTGCATGTGACGTCCGAACCGTGGCGGTTCAGGACGAATACGGATACCGTTACACCCCTAACCAATTGTGAAAATCTGGGAAAATATTGACGTTCATCCTATGCGTTTATCGCCTAACAAGTTGGCCATGCCAATAAGCCTGTTGAATTTGAATTAGACAGAGAGAGTTGGCACACTTGTTTTCAAGATAAGCTTAACTATGCAACTGTGTAAGAGACTGGGTATATACACAGTTCAGTCAGACAACTCACGTGTTTCTTAATATGTTTATTAGAAGCAGCATATAGTTTGAGTTTGGCGTCTAGGCTCGGGCCTCATCACTCCACAGATTTCAAAAGTTGAAATATGACTTTACGTTAATACCAGCTGAAACCTTGTGTTGCTTATATTTTTGCTTCATCAGGTTCCAAGCTGAAGTAGAATTTTAACTCAACATACATTTTATGTCAACATACAGCTTCACCAAAGAGTTTGAACAATCGCATGCACTCATTATAATAGTGTTAGTGTGAATAAGATAATCTAAAAAATACTGAATCTGCTTGTGTTAACACAAATGCGATTTCAACGCTTAATCGCTGAACCACCAATAATATTATGAACCACTTACGAGTGTTGCTCTATAGGTAATAGTGGTTTATACAGGTTATGAGCGCCAAAGGAAGCGTCTTCACCATCTGCTGTTTTGTGCAGAGCAGATAGTGAACTGCGGGTCTTTAAACATTTCTTTGTGTCCTCACAGACAGTTCAGAAGACTGAGACCGGCAGAGAAGCCTCTACAGACAACATGTCCACCACCATCATCAGTCCATCCTGCAGGCAGGAGAGAAGAGGCAGTTTCTTCAAGGTACAGACACTCAAATCATTCAATCTACGGGGCTAAATTATTTCTGCAGACCGACCTGTGAAGACAGAAGCTCTTAGCCACCCTAGTTAACATACAAATCCCTGACTAAGGTGAGCAGTTGTCCTGCTTGTTGCAGGACGTCAGAACAAAACTCAAACACCATCTGTTCACTCAGGCCTTCGGCCCCAGCTAAAATGCAGTACCCAGCAACCTGTTTTTCAACCTGTGTTTCTGTATGATTATTATTACTTCGTTATCTCCCATTGTAAAGCGTCCTTGGGTTTCTTGAAAGGCGCTATAAAAATCTAAATTATTATTATTATTAACAGTGTCAGACTTATGTCATGATAGTCTTAGAATATTGTCAGAACAATGTCAGACTTTTGTCAAAATTATCCTTGACTAGGTTGACCAACTGAGCGGCTTAATGCAATAATGTGGGGCACCATTATTGTAGTCCCGCATATTGAGACCTGCATTTGGGTTGGCAATAGTTTCAAAAGTAAAACCACTGCAGGACATGCTATTTCAGATGGATAGTATTTTTTTTCCAGCACCTATCGATAACATGTCCCAAATTGTCCCACACACACACACGTATACTCTTTGTCCCAAATCTGGTCACCCTATCCTTGACAAATATGAAAAACACTTCAGGTAAGGAAATGGGTTTGGGGTGGGGGGCTCAGAAAACCCTTCAGTTACAGGCTAAGTCGTGTAGAAGAATAAAGAGGAGGATGGATGTGTAGACGGCCCTCTGTCTTGTGTCTTCCTGTCAGTTCTCTCCCGTCCGACGATTGTTTTGTTATCAGAGCTGCCAAGTGAAAAACACGGATCACAGAGGTCTTAATATGAACACAAACCATGAAAAACCCAAAGCATACCATCACAATATTCTCTATTGTTCACTAGCTGAAATGAAGCTGCTTAATGTGCTTAACTAGACAGTTCAAAGACTTGCCGACCACTTCAGAGGATGTGTCACTGTAATAATTACAGGCCTGTCTTAAACCCACAGCCTTTAAGAGTAACCACACCTCACAGTCAGCCTGACCATTAAGTCAAATCGTGGTAACTTGAGAAGATCAGCTGATTGTAAACAATATGTCTACACCTAAAGTTACATAAATAAACAAACATAAACTGTAATTAGTAAAGGATAATGTGCAGCAAGGCGGTCATTAATGAAAACAATACACAGACATGGTGATCAGGATCTTGAATCACCATGAATGTGTTCGTTTTTTCATAAATACTGTTTGTGTTTTTATAGTTGTTCCAGTTGTCGGCAGCAATTCACCTCAAACACTCATGCTTGTAGTTTTTCCCATTAATATTTTCAAGCATACTATTAATATAATTAAATCTGTACTGCATCCAAATATGATCATGCCAATGAAGCCTTATACATTTAGAAAAACGTTTTTATAAAAACCAAAAGGAAGTCCAATTCTTAAAATGGAATATCATTCTCTGTCTGTTCAAAGGAAAAATAGTCCAGTGCACAACGTAGAATGTTAAGATCGAAGTCCAGATTGTGAATCTTCGGAGTTGTTATCCTCAAATGTGCCTTTGACAAATGAAATGAGTCAACATTTGTGATTTCCTTTGAAACAGCTGAGCTAATAGTTTCCTCTCTGCTTAAAGCAGCTGATGTGATGTTACCCAACAGACACATTTCCCAACTAGACAAATAATCGGGAAACGAAACAAATGACGGCAGCTTAACACTGAAAAGAATCAGACTAAATCTATTTTCAAATTTCTTCCTATTAAACAATAGATGAGTCCAATGTCCTCCGAATGGAGGTGCAGATCTTGCTATCCAGGCAGAATGGGAGAGAGGAGAGAATGCAGCTTTTTGGGGAACCGGTGCTCATGATCCAGGAAGTGACCATCCAATAAAGCCAGCCTCTCGTCTCCAGATATGCCAAGCTAACCACAATACTTCCTGTTCCTTTTTATTGGGAATCTTTGTTTCATTTCGTACTCATTTTCAATTTTTATGTTCTTGCTGGACTTAAAAAAGCCGATTGATGCTTCCCTCGCCAAGTTCTAGATAACCTGAAAGCCTGCAGCCATGCAGAGGCTGTGCTAAAACAGATCAGCTATTCAACTAAAATAACATTTTGGACCAGTTGCTAGAGGATTAAAAATATCTTGCTATGTGTATTTAGAGGCAGTGAACTGGTCAGGCAACACACATGGTCTTAAGTCTTGCATTCAAATGCCACTAAAACTTTTATTAAGGCTACATTGGTGTGAAAAACAACACTACTAAAAAACAGATGGACAATAAATGATGGAAACTGGGATCTGTGAAACTCTGTGATTTAATGCAGCTGAGTAAGGACTAGACAATATATCAATATTGTATGAAATGAAACTAGATTTTTCAATTTTCTCCATATCACCCAGAATTTTGTATGTCTCTTGTCTTTCTATCATGCTTTTATTAATTGTTTCCTGCAAGTGTTCCTCTTGAGAAACTGGTTAGTGAGAAGTGGGAAGAGCTTTGGCTTGGGATAGTTTGTCTTTTACACACATGAAACTTTAAGCTTGCAGAAGTGAGAACCCGTCATTACCTAAAAAAAGATAATACAGTAGAAGCGCCTGAAAACTCATCTCTGAACTTTCCTCAAAATGAATGTGTTGTTTCATGTGTGTCCTTGTAGCTTATTGACTCATTTGCCGTGGAAATTGGCACGTTGAAGAAGGAAATGGGGAAGAAGACTGAGCCTGCGGAAGGAGACCCGCAGACAGATACACTGCTTGGGTAAGCTCTTAGGGTGTGTGTGTGTGTGTGTGTGTGTGTGTGTGTGTGTGTGTGTGTGTGTGTGTGTGTGTGTGTGTGTGTGTGTGTGTGTGTGTGTGTGTGTGTGTGTGTGTGTGTGTGTGTGTGTGTGTGTGTGTGTGTGTGTGTGTGTGTGTGTGTGTGTGTGTGTGTGTGTGTGTGTGTGTGTGTGTGTGTGTGTGTGTGTGTGTGTGTGTGTGTGTGTGTGTGTGTGTGTGTGTGTGTGTGTGTGTGTGTGTGTGTGTGTGTGTGTGTGTGTCTAAGGTTGCACAATCATGGCCTAAATGATGTTTTGATTAATATTAGGCGCTTTCACACCGGAGTACTTTTCCCAGTATAGTTCTGATATAGTTCCGAAAATGTGCGTTCACACCAAAAAAATCCGGAACTAGAACTTAGTTCATGAGAACCTTTTCACCCCCTTTTCAGTCCCTGCTAGAGAACAGGTACTTTCATGGGAGAAAAAGGTTCCCATTTCTGATTGGCTGGGCGGATTGCAAACCACGCCCCGTAAAACTCCCAAAAAGTTTTGTGAAGCCGCCATTTTATTTTCCTCGCATTAGCATTATTAGCATTAGCATTAACCCAGCGCACAAACGCAGAGAGACTAACTTATGGCAACACAAAAGAAAACATGGGAGCGGTGGAGATGAGGAGGTGTCGGCGTTCTGGCGATTTACTCGGAAGGCTTCTTCTACTGAAGCCAGTCCCCAACTCCGGGGACTTCCGGCCGGGGACTTCGGGTGGCAGTATACGCCGTGAAGTTGTTTGCGGCCTGCCAGTTAACTAAAGAGTTCTGATTAACTAAGTTCTGATGAACTGTACGTCAAAGTATTGAGACGATCTATCCCAATTATTCAAAGGTTTTAAGGACAACGTGGGATGGGCTTTGACTTTCCTTTGAACTTATGTGCAACAATCTTCTCAGATGTGTTAAGGCTGCAAGAGGGGAAAAAGAATGTCGACCTAATTTCCAAACAACTCTTAAAAATCCAGTACTCTGTCATCTGCCCCGCCAAAGTACCTGCTTTGACATGTCTCCCACTAAGTGTGAAGAATCTCTGGCAATCTCTGGTACAAGCAAGGTTGAGAAAATTAAAACAAACCTTTTTCAAGTATGCAGCGGTCCAACCCTTTTTGAAAAAAACTTAAATTAAACCAGAGCCTGCCTAGTAACTACAGACCTATTTCTTATATTTAATTCCTTTTGAATGTTCAATTGCTGCCCCACCTACACCAAGAAAAACACCTTTGTCAGTCTTTTGTTCATACCATAGCACAGGGTCTGCCTTGCTGAAAGTGTAAAATGACATACTATTCTTGACTCTGGTGTCGGTGCCATCCTGATTGTGTTGATGGCACTTCCTTTAACTGGTTCACATCCTACTTAAAATATAGAAGCGTATCCGTCAACATTGGCAACTTTAATTTTCACCCAGCTGGTGTCCCACAAGGTTCCATCCTAGGTCCCGTTCTGTTCTCTGTATATGTTCGCCTTTGGATTAAACGTTTAAAAAATACAAAATGTTCCTTCCATTGCTATCCCAATTATACACAGCTTTATTTACTCCTGAGACTGAAAGACCAGTCCAATCTTATGAGTCTCATTAACTGCATGTGCTATTTCAACACAGTCCTGCTAAGTGATTAAATTAAGCCTTCATCTCTCTATTTAACAAATGAGGGTTATTTCTTAATTTTGTCTTCCCCAATTCAATAGCTTTTTTAGTTGAAAGTCTATTTCTGTTTTGGTACAGGAACATGCAATAATCCAGGTTCTCCTTCTTAGCAACTTGACTCTTAACATGTCTCCCCATTACTCAGTGTGGTGTTCATGTATGGTACATGAGCTACATTTTATAAAGCGTTTTTATCAATTATCAATTTGCCATGCCATCATGAGCAACATGGTGTTAATGTTTTTGGCCAAGGATACATCGACATCTCGACTGAAGGGGCTGGGATCGAACCCACGACCTACAGATTAAAATAGGAGTGCACTACGTTACAGCCAAAGTCGCCCAAAAGCATTCACTGTGCATGCCTGCCATGTCTTTTTCTCTATGTATTTTGGTGGAATTTGTGATTATCTGTAGTGTGTCCAAAAAATCGTAAAGTCTGTCACTAGCTTAAAGTAAATACAAAACGTAATGTTCTTGCTTTCTTTTACAGAGAAATTGCTGTTTTCCTTCCTAAAGTAAAGTCATTATTAATAGAGATAAATAGAAGTTAGTCTGATATACATTTGCTGCAATACTCAGTGGTGATATAAGTGCATTACAGAGATTGTATGATTCATATTTGTTTTATCTTTCAGACTGGGCGAAGAGGTGCGAGGTCTCTTCCTACAGACTTCCCCCTGCGCTGGGATCAGATCTGGGCTGGCTGGAGCCAGAGATTCGGGCTACGATTCCCTCCGTCGGCGTCTCACTGTTCTGGACAGACTGGTTCACACACACGCTGTGTGGCTGCAGCTGGGCCTCAGCCACCAGGAGGCCACAGACATCCTGCAGAGCCAACCCGCTGGGGTGAGAGAACAGCAGCCACTGTGACTCCTCTACCACACTGTTTACTTAAAGCTTTTACTTTGGTGTTAACGTTCATAGTTGTTGGAACAATGACTCAAAAAACGAGCTAGTATAATATAATATGATACAATAGTAACGGTATATTTTCCATCATTGACTGCTTTCTCTAACAATGACAAATTAACTATTAAAACAATTGATGGGATATAACATTATACTAAAGAGGCACTAATTATGCCTTTTCAGATTTTCACTTTCCGGTAGTGTGTTATATACATTTATGTGTATGTAAATGGTCTGCAAAAGCTAAAATCCCTGTGTTCTCTCCAGAGGGAGTTTCTCTCCCACACACTCCCCCCCCCCCTGCCTGAAACTCCTCTATTGGACTCCTTTGTTACCTCCCGTAACATAATGACATCGCTATGTAACACTCAATCTTCTATTGGCTAGCACTCCCCTCACATTGCATGTGATAGGCTAAGGGGCAGGACATTTCCGACACATCTCTAATGGCGCATTTCCATTGCAGCGCGTAGCTCGCTTTAAGCGTGCCGTGTCGTGCCGTCCCCTTTTTTGGTTGTGCTTCCACTAGGCCTCGTTCCGGCGCGGCACGGCGCGGGGCCACTTTTTCCCCTCTTTTCTGGCCCTAGAAAATTGTGGTTCTATCGGGGCCAACAAACAGGGCTGAGTCGGGCTGAGTATGCTAAACTAGAGAGAGGAGCGCTGGCAAGAGGGCTAGAACTACAACAAGATGGACATATTTGACCGTGATTTAATTGTAATACACGTTTCAAAATGATGCCGAAGTAACAACATACTGATACCGGTTAGTAAAAACCATGAATTAATGCTTTGTCAAGTCTGCAGACAGACGGCAGGCGAAAAACCTTTTAAAATTCGTGTTTTTCTAGATGGAGATTGGCTAAGCTAACGCAGTATATGCCCCGACCGTCCACACTCACAACAACGGCCTATACAGACATAAATACAGCAGCGACTGTATTCACCATGACACAGGCAGTCTGTGGTGTGTACTTGTTTAACTTTTGTCGAGTTTCTGAACATATATAAGGAGCTGTGAGCTCTGAGTGCTCACAGCTAACGGCTGTGTTGTGTTTCTGGATTTCTCATTGAAGATGACGTCACGGCTCCGCCTACACTGCGTTACTATAGTAACTACCCCAGTTCCTAAACTGTAATGGAAGCGCAGCATGAAGTGAGTCGGCCCTGTTAAGGCCCAACGCGGCCAAGCCGTACCGAGCCGTACCGAGTGTGGCCGAGGCCGACCGTGTAGTGGAAATGCGCCATTAGTTGTTAACCAATCACAACAGAGCCGGCCAGCTAACCGATCAGAGCAGACTGGGCTCTGGTTTCAGACAGAGGGTGAAAAAAGGTGCTGCAGCACAGGCAGTATGAGCAAAATAAAGAGCTTTTTGAACTTTAAAGCACGGAGACATGTCCCAGTAGAGACACTAAATACAAATATGAACCTGAAAATTAGCCTAATATGTATTTTTTAATCATTACAAAATATTTTAAATGCTATTAAATAATATATGTATTATTGTCATAGAAAAAGAAGGCTAATAATAGATTAAGCTATCAAATTAAATAATCGTTAACCCATTCCAACAACAGAGTTAATTTAAGTGATATACTGTAGGTTGGCCATTTTATCTAATAGAGGTAAAACATGGTCATCACATTGAATTAACTATTGCTAAATCCTGATTGGTGCGTGAAAGCAAATGAGACAACCTTTTAATAATTGAGCGCTATTCTCTTGAAAAGATAGTGGTAAGCCCAAGACAATAATCTCTTAAAAGACACTTGCGTCATCTAAACACATTGAATGACGCAGTTTCACTATATGTTTTGATGGATATTTCCTGTCCTGGTCTGCAGTCATTCGTGGTGAGGAAGTCCACCAGCCTGCAGAGGAAAGTAATATCCCTACGCATGAACAAAGACTCTGCGGTCACCATCAAAGACTTCCCTGTGAAGGAGAGCCAGTACAGTAAGCCTCTGTTTATTTCTTCTCTTTGTTTTTTTCTTGGCATGGAGCCGCCAATCAGGTGTCTTCTTCTTCTTGTGCTCGCACCAAATGCAGAGCGAATTTTAAATTGGACCACCGGATAATATATGTTTGTATGAAGCACACTGAAATTATTTCAGATCAGGGTAAATTGACTTTGTTTGTGTTAACCCACCACAAATCCTACAGTAAAACAACATATAAGAAAGTGTAATGGAACTAGAAAATGCATTTCCTGCAGAAAATGCGTGTGAATGCTGTAAACTGTGAACATTTGTTGCTGAATTTAGCAGAAAATGCAGAAAAAGCTGAATATTTGATTAGTTGAATGGTCTCTGTAGCTGCTTTTAGCTACAAAAACCAAGTAAGTGTGTTGCTGAACTTAGCGGAGAAATGCAGAAAAGTGAAATGATTTGAATCAAATTGTTACAGCTCAAATGCATTGCAATGACTTTGTTGGAAACTTGAAAGTGAAATGTTAAACTGGAAGAGTAGGAAAAATAGTGAAGAAGCTTAATATTTAAAAGAAAAGGTTTAAAAAAGGTATAAACAACAACATGAATAGCCTCAATGTCCTGAAATAGCTGAATAAGTTAATAGCTGAATGGTTTCTGCAGCTGAACGTAGGCTGAAGGAGTTAGATATTAAATGTAAGTAGTAGTGAATTAATGTTTACAAACACCTGTGTGTGTAAGCCCAGAGATCAAAGGTTACCATGGTGACAACGTTATCAAACACCTGTTTAAGTGAGCCCAGAGATCAATGGTTTCCATGGAGATGTGCTGTGAAAGGAGAGCCTTTCCATTTGTTCTGAATGAGAGATAAACCTCTTGCATTTCTAACTTTTGTTGAAAAAAAAATAATACAAACCTCCAGTGTTTGTGTGTGCGTGTACCAGTCTGTCTGTAGGCGTGTCTGCTCTGATTAGATGATGTCACTCAGGTTTGTGGCCCCAATCTGCCCAGCAAATTGTGGCACAGCATTCGCACTAATGAACAGATGTCATTGGAAATATCCCCCCTTACCAATGTGTATATACCCCTCAGTGGTGTTTGTGCTAAAATAAGTAAGACACCAAGTGGTGCTAATCTCGCCAGTCTTTTTGTAAGTCGACAAAGTTAGCATTGCAAAGGGCTCCCTCGACAACTTGTAATAGCATTAGGCCCCTGCTGAGTTAGTTTAGCTCCCCTCTCTTTCCCCTCTCCTTCTGGGTGCTGTACTATAGTCAAGTCTGGCTTACTGACTTGGCTGTGAGGATGCACAAAGTGAATAGTTGGCAAAAGAATCATAACCAATAAATAATTCTGGTCAACATGATGTTTTCTTTACATTCACCTTTCATCATCTATACAGTATTCTGGAGGCGTTGTTCCAGAGCTACAGGATTATCTTATCTAATGTGTCAGAGGCTTCAGAATACTATATCCCAACTACTGCCTACATGATCATTGCAATTATTATATCACTAAATCTTTATTCTTTGTCCTGTTTTATTTTCCGTTTCATGAATCACAGGGTATTTCCTAAAGCTGTGATCAAACTCATCACTGATGTGTCTTCTCCCTGTACCTGTATGTTCTGAAACTTTGGCACCAGACTGGAATTGCCAAGTGCTTATCTATTGAGATTATGTGCTGCTGGGAATCTCCGCCCACTGCAGCCTTTACTGTCATTTCTCTTGTTTGTTGACTATTGGTAAAGGTGTGGACTAAGGACGTCACTTTTATTACCTGAGGACAGTCATCCGTTCTTAATAAGTCAGCGTCACTTCCAACACATAATGTCACCCTCCATGCATTGACAGTAATTGTAGTCATTTAAACTGAAGCAGTTTGATTTGAGAAATGAACCAAAGGAAGCAAAGGAATACAAATGGTTAATAAAAATGTTCTGTGCTCCTGCAGCGTTCTCCCTGATGGGGTCAGGCCTGAGCTTTGCAGACCTTTTCCGTCTGGTGGCGTTCTGCTGCATCAGCAGGTGAGTTCATAACTCAGAATTACTCATGGTCACAGAAAGACATGCAAACCACACTGATGTGCACAATGTCTCATTTATAGGTCTAATACATAAATAACAAAAAAGGTGATTTAACATCATCCTTCTATGAGTCATTCAAACTGGTTTAGAAATCATAGAAACCCTCAGAGCTAGTCTCAGAATGATCACAAGTATCAAAGTAATCCAGTGATGGCTGTCGAACAGATATGGCTACAGTAATAACAGAAACGACATCTAGCTAAGGATACTTCTGATGGTGCCAATTCAATCAATGTATGCTTATAATGTCACATCAACATGGTTCTTATATCTGTGGGACACTCAGACTCTCCTCTACTCATTCAGATTCCATCTAAATACTGTTTCATTGGTGTATAACAGGGGTGTCCAAACTACGGCCCGGGGTCCAACTGCGGCCTACTGTCCATTTTGAATTGGCCGTCAGGAAATTGTAAAAGTATAATGGGATATGGCCCACACCTGAAACTTGTGCTTATCTTATATTGCACTTCTTAAATGTATATGTAAACATATATGACACAGTAGTATTTGCGTGTTAATGTGCCCAATTTTCGAATAAATTCAGTCAATTAAAGTAAAAAATAAATTGTTCTAAAAAAAACAGCCCAATAACTTATTTGCATATAGCAAGCTTGAAATATACTTTACTATTTCTCCTTATTATAAGCAATCTGAAGCTTTTTTTAAGAGATTAGCTGCCAACACTTTTTGTAACAAAATAAATAAAACCCGATGGAAAGCTGTGATGTAGGCTGTTTTCTCTCTTAAAGGATTTTAATTATCAAGAATAATTTATTTGATTGATTATGCGGCCCTGAAAACAGTTTGGACACCCCTGGTGTATAAAATAGGTCGCTAAATACAATACACAAAATACTTAATGTGAGTATATAGATGTATTAAATAAAATCTTAAAAGTCCTCATAATCACATGTTTCTACGGAAGAAGATTAAGGCCACGTCAGAAATGTTTTGAGATCTGAACAAAAGTGTGTGGGGGGGGGGGGGGTTCTGAGTTCTATCTCAAAAAGGAAAAGATTCACTTACATATTAATAGTATATAATATTCATAAATTATTAAAACACATACCCTAGGTTTATATAAATATGTATTTATTTGTATTCTAATATGGTGTCACAAAACTTAATTTCCCCCCGGGATTAATAAAGTATTTTTTGATTGATTTGAAAAAATCCTGTTCCGTATTTTTCAAAATACTCACACAGTTTATTTCCCAAGAGAATATATTAATGTTTTACAGTATAACTCGAGTATATGATGTGTTTTTGTGTAGGTTTTAAAGACACAAATCATAACAAAAGCAAAGAAGGAAGTAAAAAAAGTAACAACTTTAACCTTTATTAAAACAAGGAAGTACAGATGTATTTTTATATCACAAAGTAAAAATAGAAATGTGTGAGTAACTATTCGATAGAACATAACGCCACTGATGCCAGAGGGTTACTTGTGATTTAGTGTAATTTCAACAGGACATGCAATGAGCCTCTCGTGATTACGAAATTATTTTTGCAGGATTTGATTCCAACATTTTTGCTGGAGACACTTAGGTTCTTTTAGTACACTCACTTGTTTTGGAGCAGTGGCACATATTGAAATGTACGGCAGAGGATTCGGCCACATTTTAATTTAGATTTTTAGATGCGACAATAATGTTGACTTTAATCTGATCATTCTGAGAGAAAGTCAGGATTCTAAGAAAAATCTGAATCATTTTCTCGCATAATTCTGAGATGTAATAACAACTTTGACTTTTTTTCTCATAATTATAACTTAAATCTTACAATTCTGACTTTAGTCTCAGAACTAAAAATTAAATCACTTGTGGCCCTAAGCCTCATCTGTAACTCATTTCAATTCAAACTTTTTCAGAACACACAACCCACACAAAACTGTTCTATAGTGCTGCTAGGGGTAAAATAAAAAGGTTTAAATCACTCTCTGCTTTAATATCTCCATTCATATTACTTTCATTGATTCCTTAATATATTCAAATTTGACCCTTATTTCACACGTATGTCTTTTTCTTCGCCTTGTCATTTCCTTAATAGCTCCAGTATATAATAGTTAGGTGGTAAAGAGATTATATCCTTTACAAATCTGTCAGGTGAAATGCTTTGGCTTCCCTTGCCTCAGGCCTTTGGAAAGCTTGTAAAAGTTCCACAGGGAGGAAAGCAGCAGGGACACATGTCACCCTCCAGCTGTGTGGTTAAAGTCACTCAACACACCCAGGTTCAACCTCTCTTCCAATGAAGTGACTCACACACTTTTTGGATTAGGGTGTCAGCCCCGCCGTCTTTCTCCTGAATTTCCTTTCGTCTGTTTACCAGCTCTTTCTCCCTTTCACTCAATCTTTTCTCTTAGGGACGTGTTGCCGTTCACTCTGAAGCTCCCAGAAGTCATCGCTTCAGCCAAAACATCTGCTGACCTCGAGGAGGTTGCTAAACTTGGAGCAGGTTTGTTCTCTTATTTAAATGTATTAGTGCATTAGTGGATGTGCTCCTGTTGCTGCAGCTTGGGTTATGAATGTTGTGCACGTTTTCACGCTAGCAATACTACAGTCTATGCATCACGAGTGCAAAAGATCCCAGCTTTGATGAATTCTGGACTCGGAACCAGTCTCTGAGAGCCCTGAGAACTTGGGTGATTTGTTCTGCTCTTTAAGTTTTAGTCAGGACTCAGGCGGCAGCGTTCTGAATGAGTTGTCACATTTTTTAAATATGCTGTTGCAGTTATCATGAATATGTAAGACACATGCATGAACGAGTTTCTCTAGCTCTTGTTGAGACACGAGTCTTTTCAGTCCGGCTATGTTTTATTGGTTGTAGTATGCTGATTTTGTAATAATATGGGTGTTGAATTGTAGGTCATAGTCCAGAACTACACCAAGATTCTGATTGGCTGATGCTTTAAACATAATTGGTGTAATTATTTATGATTTTGCAACAGTTGATTTGTATAGTTCCCTCAGCCTCTTTTCAGAAAAGCCTCTATTCAGCAAAAGAGTCTTTAACTCCACCCAACATCTGTTGTGTGTAAACATTGTTGATTTTTATCTTTTTTATTCCCCGAGGCATGGCACTCATAAAGTCCATTTCAACCCCCCCCCCCCCCCTCATGTAGCACAGTCATGCCAGTTAATCCTTGAAAACACAGGGGGGCTGTGTTTTCAAGGATTAACTGGCATGACTGTGTTAAATGAGTCACCCCCAAGGGTAACACAGTCTCACTCCCTGATAGTCCAATAGCGACGCTTGGTCAGGGTCCTTTGGCGTGCAGTTGTGACGCGCCGAGTCTCCTTCAGCTTCATAAACGGACGCAAAGAGCTTTCAACTGATTGCCATTCATTCCAATTAGTAGTGCTGTTTGACGCTCGGCGTAAACTTCGCGCACTGCCACTCCAACATCCAATCACAGAGCTTGAGGACTAATCACGGGGGTTTGTCAAGCAAAGCGCATGCATGGTGTGGTCTCAAACGATAGCTGAGGATTATGGGTAGTGTAGTGTCTTCGGCCATCCTAAACTCCGATACAAATATTTGTTTCTCAGAGTCGAAGGGGAAAAACACAAAACCATTGCACACAATTTAAACTAATCAATGTTGTGTAATTAACAAGGATAAACTGGTGTTTTTGAGTTGATGAGTAGTGCAGATATCACTGTAAAATCAATCGACAGTAAAGAGAATACTTACTTCCGGGTGTAAAATTCTCCGTTATCCAATGGGAATGGACGCTCACATTGCCTTTAACTGCCGCCGACATGGACCGATGCGGTGCTTCCCTGAGCGTCAAATACTGCCGCCGATGGGAATACATTGCAATCAGTTGAAAGCTCTTTGCGTCCGTTTATGAAGCTGAAGGAGACTCGGCACGTCACAACTGCACGCCAAAGGACCCTGACCAAGCGTCGCTATTGGACTATCAGGGAGTGAGACTGTGTTGCCAAGGGACAAAAACCCATGCCCAGATTAGTGCTGCTCAGCTGGGCTGAGCTCGGTTTAAATGCACTTCAGTGGAATTATCTTTCAGCCCACTTCCCTTTTCACAGCCCACCCAGATTGACCTTTTTGCCCCTTTAGCCTCGCGTGCTGTGACTCAGCTCTGAGCTTGCATGTATAGGTCTACATCCTACACCTCTATTCTCTTCCTGTCTTGTGTTGTTCAGTCTCTCTTTCATTCATAAAAGGCTTCTTGTTTAGTGAGTCGGCACAATGGTGCTTTTTGTGTCTATGAAGGTGCTTCAGCAGCAGTGAATAGTGGCGGTTGTGACGTACATACGGGCATCATCAATGGCTGGGAAAGATCAGAAAAGAGTGCTGTTGACTCATGTGGCTCTCCACCTGTAAGGGGAGTTTGGATTAGGAGGCAGTTTATTATCTTTTGTGAGGCATTTTAAAGGCGTGTCTTTTGTTAATAACCCACCATGGTGAAAAAGTAGCTCCTTCCCCGAAACTAACCTTTATTCAGTGGTGGAATGTAAAGTACATAAGGACATTGCTTTTATTTTATTTCGTATATAATTTGAGGGAATTGTAATTTACCTGATTATTTGCAAGTTGTGATACTTGTGATACCCGGCTACATTTTAAAGGCCAGTATTGTACTTTTTACTCTACTACATGTATTTGAAAGCATCAGTTACGTATAACATTATATATTCAGATTAATAGAGAATACATTTTTTTTGTTGATAAATACATACAATTTCCATACATATAGGTTAAACGGTTAAACTATGCAGCAGCAGTATACAAAGTAATACAATTAGCTCCCATTTAAGAAGCTGTGATATACAGTATATTATTATGTTATGGGCCATTACGCATTATGAGTACTTTGAGTGAAAACATTCGCTGTCATTTGACCTGTATTCACATAAATAAATAAAGAATACTGTGCATTTGTTTAACTACAAGGAGCACAATAACAAAGGTCAGTCTGGCAAACATCATTAGCTTCATCATTTAGCTGTGATAAGTGTTTCCCACAGACATACATGTATTGACTGACAGTGTCTGATTTTCCTTCTCTCTGTGGAGGCATGAAGCCATAAATCTTTCTTTACCGTCCTTTTTGCTAAGTGACAGTAAAGAACATTTTAATTTTGGATATTCTTTTGGTTTGACGTGCAATTCACGACACAGCAGCTTTTAGGCATGATACAACTACTTTTTCCACTTGCTGCCAATTCTTAGTTTTCACTGGAAACGGGGCAGGCCCGTCATTGCACCAGGCAGTGACGTAGCCCTGCTCTCTTCAATAGATGACAGGCACTGTCTATAATTGCTGCAACATGAACAAAAGAATAATCATTTAAACGCTGGTAAGTAGACCTTGATATGAGAAAAATAAATACATTGAATTGTTGACTATGTGACTTGTTGATGAGGATGTCTGCAGAATGAATACACACCACTGTATTCATGGCTTTGTTTCTGCTGTTGCTCATCACTAAACTGCATGAAAGCAGTACTATATTTAGCAACTTGTCAGTGCCACATTTTCAAAGACAATCTACTATTTCAATCACATACAGTATAATCATTGGTGGAAGAAGTATTCAGATACTCTATTACAAATAAATGTCCTGCATTCAAAATCTTATTTAAGTAAAAGCACCTAAGTAATTCTGCAGAGAAAATCGCCTCCATATATGAGATATTATTATATACGTATAACATTTTTAGATAATGTGGTTGCATCAGGTAGAATTGTACTCTTCTACACAAAGTTCTGTAACGAAAAATGATTGACTTTGAATAATTTATTTGATAATTATTTGTTGTAGCTTGCACAGTTAGTCCACTGGTAGCTCTGAAAAGTAGCTAAAGAACTTTCATAAATGTAGTGGCGTAAAATACATTATTTCCCTATAATTGTAGTAAAAGTATAAAGCAGCATTCAATTGAAATTAGGGATGCTCCGATCGCCAATTTTGGGGCCGATCGCCGGAATCAGTATCGGCCGATACCGATCGCCGATCCGATCGAGTGGGCGGGGCCTATGGGGATCTTCCATTTAAAGTGATGTTTAAAACTCAGTTAATGGGGCTCATTCACTGGAGCTTCCACAAACAACAACCAACATAATTATTACATTCAAATGATGTACGTTATTCAAGTTTACATTCACTTTGGATAATAACACGGGAGAAATGAGCGGAAGCGCTCTCTTTTCCTCTCTCCCTCTCTCTCTCCCCCTCTCTCTCTCTCCTGACAGCCTGTCAGTATCTCATGCAGCTCACTGATCCAGTAATGAGTGACACGACAGTGAAGAATAAATATATGTATAACTAGTTTAGCTTGTTCCAGAGGTAGATAAAATAGCTAAGTGTGTTAGCTGCAGGATTTCTGCTTCACACACGTTGCATACCGCTATTTTATTGTCATTTTCGGACACCTTAAAATACTGCCAGACTGGTGAAGCCATTTAAGCGAGCTTGTTTTGCCGCGCACAGAGAAAAGTGTAGTGTATTTTACGTCATCCTTTTACGTCATGCGATCGGCTCTCGCGATCGGTATTTTTAGAGAGCACCGATCGATCGGTAGAGAGTGAGTATCGGCCGATATCGATCGGAGCATCCCTAATTGAAATACTTAAAAGTGAAGTACTTAGTCATTTACCACCACTGCATATATTAGTATCCAGTATTTTCATAATACCTTTACATATCCTTACATAACAAGATATTAAACTTGACAGCTGTCAATAGGGAACAATCTGCAACGTTAAACTGACATGCCAAGCCTCTCAGCTATCGTTTCCAACCTTTGAGATGAGACTTTTATCATATCAAATGTAATGGCGGGGTAAAGGGCATGCAGTGTGGTAATCAAGATAAAGCTACTTTCAACATTAGCATGCAGCAAGTATATGTTGGTTTGATGATCTCCCTTTTTTACTGTAAATTTTACATAAGCCTGGTCAGTAATATTAAAATAATGCCAACTGAAGCATGAAGCAAAGTGAATGACTTCATGTCTTGTCTTGTATAAGCTCTGTCTATTATTGGCTGCAGTTCAGCTGTCATGCAAATGTGTTCGAGTTTCCCGTAACTTAACCTTGACTTTCCCAGATCTCGATCAACCCAGCCAAACCACATTCATTCAAGTGTATGAGTGTGTGTTTGAACAGCAGCTCATTACATCACTTTGGTATGCTAAACAGATGAATCAAAGTAATTACACAAAACTAGGTGTGTAAAGAAAACATTATGAAATAGATTTATTAAAAAGGATTACCTAGTATCCAGATGTATTCATTGTCCAGACAATTAGATTATACATGCATGGACTAAATGCATGTTCTGTTTGTCTGACAGAGGAGATGACAGGCAGTAGAATCTCCCTAGCTGGATTCGAACCCGGGTCCTCCGCACAGTGACCTCATCCCTCAACCTCATGGCCGGCTCTGTTGTGATTGGTCAACTGCTTAGAGATGTCCCGCCCCTTAGCAAATCACCACAATGTGTTGGATAGTAGAAATGCGAGTGTTGTCACTATGTTATGGAAGTAAACAAAGGAGTTCAAGGGAGGGGGTTTCAGGCAGAGTGTGTGGGGGAGAAACTCAGGGATTTTAGCCTTTGCAGATTTACATGCACAAAACATATAATACACACTACAGAAAAGGGAAAACCCCCAAAAACATTATAGGGCCTTTTTTGAATCCTTCGACATAATGTTAAAAAACAGTATCATAATCAGATCATGTCATCCTGTAAAAGGGAGACGATAGTAAGAGTAAACAAAAGTAGTTTATAAGGACAGTAAACATGTTTTGGTTTGTCAGACAGAGTGCGAGTGAGAGAACGAGAGACATCAACATGACACCAGCTGAAAGGGAGGGATTGAGGGAGGGAGGGAGGCGGGATCACTGAGCTAACAGCCTGCCCACACACACATTAACAGGAGTGAGTCATAACACAGATTGAACGTGAGTGAGCCAGAGAAGCCAGTCGAGTTTCAGCTTGTGTAGACACTCTCACTTCAACAGGATCAGAACTGTACAGAGAAGTTTTCCTGAGGTGAAATCAACAGCTCCTCTGTGTGCGGTCACAGTAAGTATTGTTGCTCTGCTCTCTGCTGTCACTGTGTGAAGGAGCTGCTCTGAGTCTGGTACTAGTTTTCCTCAAGCGGTATTGTTCCCCTCTGATTGTGTCTGTCTTGTTTTGCTCTGTCTGGTACGGCTTGGACTCTAAAGGTTTCAAATATTCTTGTGTTACAGTAGTTCAGTGCTATTTGACTCTTTCTCCCAGACAGGCTGAGCCTCGTTCTGCAAAAGTAAACAGCAGTGATTTTGCACAGAGCAGCATTTAGAGGTTTTTTGTGGTTTTAAATTGCAGGGCTTTTATTGAGTCATTGGGAGTGGATGAGTGGGCAAATTATAGTTGGCAAGTTAAGTTTATTTTGCTGCCGCTCACTGTAGTATAATGTCACATGTATGAGAATGTTAATATTTATATCTGCCAATTGTATGATTGGGATGTTCTTTTTTTATGTTTTTAATTAGCCTTGTCTAGAAACCTAGAAACACTATTCTACACATTTGTATCATGATTTGTAACCTATTCCAATGTGTCATGCACTTTTCCTGACAAACAAATACATACATACATTTAGTATGTATATGTAAAACTTGATTTGCGTCTATGCGATTATCAGGTTACACATAGAATCAGGGGACAAAAGGGACCGTTTGCTTGTTGATATGGGTATTATGGCTAATACTCTACTTGGACTGTATTAGACTACAGAAAAAGACTACAATCATTTTGTTTCTTAAGGCTAAGCAAACCAAAAAAAGATGCCTAATCAGCTGAATGTACTATACAGTCCAGATAATGGTTAGTTACCGATAAATGTGCTTTTACATCTCCAATTTGTTTGCCTTCAATAGTGAGGGGAATTCATGCTTTTTAAAATGATCCTTGTTCTACTGAAAATAACTGGAATAGCTGTCTACAGAAAAGGAGGTCAGATAATGTTTTCAGTTGTAAGTCAGCATCGTTGGGTCTGAAGAGTTTTAACATTTTTACATTCTGGAGATGCAGAGTTAAAAAAAGTGATCTTAACAAAACTTTGCAGTAAATGTAGCACTTAAGCTGCGTTCACAAGATAGGTGGTAACAGGTCTGTGCTGACATTGCCTTTGTGTTCCTATGGAGGGGTCTGTGCCGGCCCACTAGGATATTTTATTGTCGCCGAGCGCTACAATCAAAGTTCAAATTACTTAATCTTTGACCTCGTTTAACGCCGACTATCAAAGCCCAACCATTCAGATGTCAGCTGTATGTAGCGCCACAAGCTAGCAGGGGAGGTAACCATATAAGCAAAACTTCACTAGCTGTTTTCAAGGCGAGGCCCAATCTTGAGGTGATCAAAGAGCAAATTGCACATCTCGTGAATGCATCTTTTCAGGTTGTACCCTACCCTGTCCAAACAATTTACACAGCGTGTTTTTCTCACTCTTTCACATAGGCTTCTGGGATTCTCAGTTGTGCCACAGGAGTAAGGACTCAGTCTTTTTGTCAGGAATAGCTGCTCCCTCTTTCCAGACACCGGTCTCCTTGGCGACCACCCCAGGGCGCCCTCGACTTCGAACTCGCACCCCTTCAGAGCTTGATTGTAGCCAGTCCAACGGAGCACTTTGCTTTATCAACCCCCTCTTCATCAAGGTTCACCAACCAGATGGTGACGACAGCACAACTTCACGTCCCTCTGGTACAGCAAAGGAAAACCAGAGGGAGGAACCCGTTAGCGACAGCCTAGAAACCAACAACAAGGACCCTCAACATCATCCTCAGGTCTCAGATCAGGCAGGTCAAAGCAACCCTCAGAGTCTTGATAGGAACCCAAAGCTTCAGGACCATAACAGCCCAACCAGCAGCAGCATTCAGAAACTAAGTAAGCCACGGTCCCCACCTCCACGTCCACCCCCACCTCAAATTGTGTCGCAAATACGCAGTATGCCAGAAAAGATCGCCTGGATCAACTTCCCGAAGGGGAAGGGGGAAGAGAAGGGCAGCAGCCTCTTTTCCCGTCTGGGCTCTTCCCTCAGCATCAGCCCCTCGTCCTCCCCTCCCAAGAGACTCAGCATCAGCTCCCCCATTTCCATCCCCCGGCCCTCCCTGCCCATGTCTCTGCAGTCTCTTTCCTGCTCCCCACGTCAGGCTAAGGCCTCACCGTCGTCTAGCCATGAGGAGGCCCAATGCCACTTGGCGCTGGAGGACCAGACCATTGAGAAGGCCGTCATCAGGGCCAGACTCTCTCAGCGTAATGCTAACAGAAACCCCCCCCAGGACTCCAGCAGTCCTCCAGACCCTTCAACAACAAGCAAGCAGGCAGATGTGCCAGGAGCAGAAGAAGAAGAAGAAGAAGCAGGCGAGGAATGCAGCGGGGGCGGCCAGCGTCTGAGCGACATGAGCCTTTCCACCGATTCCTCAGACTCTCTGGACTTCTCTCAGTCTTCAGTCTTTTTCCTTCCTCCTCTGCATGATCCCAGTCCCCCCACCATGGCTGACTTTGACACCCACCTCCCCCTCTCCATCCCACCTTCCCACCTGCCTTACTCCAGCATGGAGGAGGATGACGATGATGACGAAGACGAGGATGAAGAGGAGCATGACTATGGTGTCAGTCTTGAGAGCGACCAGGACCAAGACCAGGACTTGACCATGGTGCCACCAGGCCACCGCATGAGGCGCCGCCCCAGTGTCAGCGCTTTGGTCCTGCAGAGGGCCCTGCGAGGGCATCTTCGCAAGATGAGTGGAGTGTTCAACTCTCTGCTGACCCCCGAGAAGAGGGCCATCCGCAGGGTGGTGGAACTATCAAGGGATAAGAGCTCGTACTTCGGCTGCCTGGTGCAGGACTACCTGAGCTACATGAGCGAGGGTGCGGGCACCCAGGCCTGGCAGGGCTACGCCTCCGGACTGGAGCTGCTGCAGACTCTTCGTCAGTTCATCACTCAGATGAAGAGCTACCTGAGACAGAGCTCCGAGTTGGAGCCACCAATCGAGAGTCTCATTCCCGAAGACCAGATCGGTGAGTCCCAAATAATTCATCTTTTCATGATGTTTTTTTGCTGTTTTGTCTGTTTTATATTCATAGGAAGTGTGAATGATTGATGTTCTTGTGGAAAATATGAACACAATGACAATGTCAGAGAAAGCTTGCTGATATAGCAATTTCACTTCACTATTTGAGCAGTGACTTCATCGGAAAACTTGTCCTCGCGTGTTTGCGCCTGGATGTGTTCCTGTGTTTTTATGCATGCAATAGCTTTTTCTTTTTAAATATCCATCCTTTATTGCATCTAACAATACCATGACAACAACATGAAAGGGGGACCAGACACAACTGCATAGAAACATACCAGCACACACACACACACCTGCCGGAAGAGCGGTCTGAATCATTGAGGCCAAGACTCAGAGGCTGGCCGGAGCAGCATGTAAACAGAGAGCACAAAGAGGGTTTTATCTCAGGACCACTGGGGGTGTTCAACAACCCGTTTCTACTGGCCCGGCTCACATAGTTTAGCACAAGGCTATAATTATGTTATTGTTAAACCTTAACTGGGCGTCTTTGTTGCTTTGGGAGATTATTCTGTAATTTGTAATGCATTTATAAGCAGTTAACTGAACATATTACCAGTACACTGTAGTATGCAACAGTATAGCGATGCCTGTTTTGCAAGGCAAGAACATTGCCTTATTACGGTCTATAAATACTTTGTTCTGCACCACCATTTCTGGCTGCTAACAGCTCATGTTAACACTGCCTTGACTTGATTGGATTGACACTTACAGATAATAACACACAAGTTGAAAATGATAAAGAGAGATTTCAACTTTTATTTTTGAATTACCAATATTAATAGTAAAGGTTCTAAAGGAAAAGGGGAAATATATTCATGTTTGTATGTCGCGTGCCGTGGCTTGCCTGTTTTCCAAAAGGCCTATTTCTTTCAGGAATGACTGAATTAGAACTGCTGCGGTTTCAGTTCTTGGAATAGTTGCGCAACATTTTGTTGTGGCAGCTTCAGGGAGTGTTTTCTGATGAACTCAAAGACTAGCCGATCCAGATGTGTTTGGGTGACGTTCTGCTAATCTTTACAATCTCTGTCTTACCTCAACTAAACATCTTTTAAATGTACTCTCCAATTAAAGTGATAGAATTTGAGGCAGGACCTCTTTACTTTGTAGTCCTTGGACACTCTTTCTGTGTTTATTTTTCCCTTTCCCTCTTTCTCCTCATCCATTCTCCCACTCGCTATGACAGTTAATGCTTTCATTCATATGGGTATTTTCACACTCACTATCATCTCTTATAATACTTCCTTGTATACCAGTAAAAGCATCCATCATTAGCACATTTATCCGTAGGATACACACAAAGAGAAAAACAAATGTGCAAATTCACAGTATATTCATGATGTTGTTTTCCATGTTTAGTGCTCACTCAGCAACCCAACCATGTATGTGCTTAGGTTCAGGATGTTTAGGGGGGTGGGGGTGGGGGGGGGGGGGGGGGGGGGGCAGAATAGAGTTCCTTGTTTTCCATTCATCCAGCACTGCTAGACTCTCCACGGCCAGATAGCCTGAGACGGCTCCATGTCAGGAAGCTCTGTTTGTGGTGCTTCACAAAGTGTCCATGAAAGCATCAACAGCTGGATCGCTCTTAAGGAAGGATCTGTCAATGAACTTTGAACCCTAATCAAAAGAATAGATGGTGATTATGATCCATGTTCCTTTTTACCAAGCTTTTCTTCATCAGGCTCTTTGCTTTAAAAAAAAAAATGGGGCATTTGAGTCTTTACCGCACCAATGGACCGATCATCCACTGCTTTCTTCCGTCAACAACAAAAGCTCGTTATAATAAATGGCTAGGAAGAATATAAAAAAAAAATGTTTAAGCAAAAAGCCACATGGAAACTGGCAGAAGATCATGCTTATCATGAAATTATTTAAGTTTGTTTGTCTCCAAACACTCACCGAATACATCCAATTGCATTTCCCAGGGATATTCACTCTATTTTCTCAGATGAGTGAATATGCTAACGAGTTAAGCTTTACAATAGTAATGTCCCCAAACAAAGTTGTGACATAACGCAAACTACATAAATTACATAACGTTTATTTGCCACAGGAACTCTCTGTTGGAGAGGCAGGAATCTCTCTTACTTAGAAATCTGATGACTTATTTTCGCGCTATTCCCAAAGTGTTGCTTGCTCTCACTCAACTACTGAATATGTTTGTAGTATTACCTGGCCATTTACTCATGCTGGCAATAAAACAAGCCTTGGTATTTATCTCAAACAATACAATTGATTTTCTTTGATATGGCTGAAAACTAAGGTGATTTGTCTGTAGCCTTCCTGTATCCTATAGAAATATAATCTGCAGTTGTCCCATTTCGAATTAAACAGTAGGTATGGAGAGCACATGTGGTCAAATATATATATTATTGCACAAATAGCAGGATTCTCATTTGTCGGCCAGCATTCCTCTCTTGCTATATGTTATCTAACAGTTAACATTTATAAGTGATACATAATAGCTCTTCCTCTTGACTGGAATAAGCAATTGGTCCATTTCATGCAGTTGAAGGGTACAACCTAATGAAACACCAAGCTCACTCTTTTATGGGTGAACGCAGTGAGCCTGAGGAAAAAGAAACCTGGGTAATCAAAGACATTATCTCTGACGGGGCTTTAAGTTTGCTTCTTAAACACACCACATTGTATTCTGCTGTATTTGCAGATCTCTTGAATCAAAGAGCCTCCTACTCAAAACCAAGGAGTTACTTCCTCTTCTTCTTTGTTGGTTTTTCAGAGGCATTCATGTCTACTACGTATGGATAAATAATGAAACTCCATTCTCCAAAACCCCCTATTCCAACTAACATATAGTAATAATGAAGGGGAAAAGAAACCACATAAACGAGAGGCCGGATGTGGCTATACCCTGGAAGGAAGTTCCTGTTTTCCATGTTGGTTTCCTGCAGTAGAACCATAGTCACCTTGTTTTTGATGGGGATCTTATCAATGATGTTGATCTTCTAGGCGGTAGTAAGGCCTTCAACGTAGAGCCTAACCCTAACCCTAGAGATGCAGTATCAGTAGGCCTTAGCATTTAGCAGCATCCCTCCAGAAGATGTTGAAAGACTCAAGCATCCTTTGCTACTTTTCCTTATCAATGCAAGGACCTAAATGGGTGCAAAGGCTATTTTAGGATGTACCTTATCGAAGCAGGAAGTGAGCAAACTGTGTATCAGGAGAGGTCCTTGGTTCAATGACAGCTCGGACCGAGACTCCTCTCTTTCTCATTACTACAGGCTACTCCTAAAGACAGTCCTATAGTCTACATGCCTTTGCCATTCTATGTGGTATAGCATTTATTTATTTATTTAGTTTTTTTTGTTTGATTGAATGAAAAGGGTCACTTTATTTGTTTTACATTTATTTTAATATTTTTTGTTTATTGACTTAGTTCATTACCAGCTGCACTTCACTCATACAGTAATACAAACTCATGTTTTTACATAAAACACAAAAGAGAAACAAAAGACAAAACCAAAAAATATATATAAATAAAGAATAAAATCAAAATAATGGAAATAAAAACACAAATATATTGAAAGATACATTAAACAGGGTTCTTACGGTCATTAAAAACCTGGAAAAGTCATGGAAATTCAAAATGCAAATTCCAGGCCCTGGAAAATGTATGGAAAACAATATTTTCCCCAAAGTTTTGGAAAAGTCATGGAAATTTTACTAAAGTTGCATCAAATATAATTGATATTTTATCTAATCGCCAAAATAGTAATACTATAATGATAATAAATACTGTATCGTATAGTAATGAAACGTAAAATGGCATTTAACTGTCGAGGTATTTTGCTGGTGAGAGATTTCAGTTGCTTTAGCCTGTAGAAGCTAGTAAGCCTATTTGATTTGTTTTAGATAGGCACAACATGTTTCATATGCAGACCTTATTTTCCTGTTCCATGTTAAAATAAACCATTTTCAGTGGTACCGCTGAGAAAGAGTCATTTGTTTGGTCATGGAAAATTTGGTAAAGGTCATGGAAAAGTCATTGAAAATCATTGGTGAAAAAGTGTATGAACCCTGGTTAAAGCTAATGACATGGGAATGATATTCAGAGGACTACATGTGTAGGTATGTGATGTTTCTTTACTCTCCAGCACACAGGAAATTAAAATAGATTTTCAATTTCAGTTTCAATCATTGGGAAAACTCCTCGGCCATAACGGCACCAAGAGCGACAAACAGAAACACTAGGCCTTTTGAGGACAACTACTGTTAGTTTTGATATTTGCCTGTACAAATGTCTAGGACAGTATGTTTATTTAAAGCTAGCATTGCCATTGCCAAAAAGACGAGAGGAGGTTTGCATCAAGCGGGAAGAGGCTGTGTTGTTGCCAGCATTGTGTGTTTGTGTCAGATTGCCTGCTTGAGCTGACCTTGACTGATAAGTTGCCAAAGACGCCTGACTCCTGTGTGTTTCCTACCGTCTGTCTGTTGATGCAACACACGAGAGACTGTGACGTAGACTGGGGAGCTCGCAGTCCAATGCGAATGATCAGAATTCACTTTGAAGCCAGAGCAGGACACAGGGGTCAACATTCCCTCGTGCAGAACAAGTATGACCACAGTAAACCTTCACATACACGCCTGAAAGATACACAACTTTACTTTGAGCAATCGAATTTGTATGTACGTAAAATTAGAATTTCCCAGCGTTAGAATCACTTAAGCCCAACCTTTATGCCCAGAGTGAAGAATGTTGGCCCTGTTTGTGGTGACTGTAACAGACTGTCGAGTAAATGTTGAGCTTGAGGAAAGTATTAGGAAATAAATAAACAGTTCATAGAGTATAAGGTGCATACTGAGCATTTAAGACCTCAGGTTAGTCGTTTCTACCATGGTTCAGGCCCTGTACTGTTTACCAGGGCAACAACTTATTATTTAAAAAATGTTATAAAATAGTCTGCTCCATCTTTAAAGTAACCTTTCAAGCTTTTTTGTTCTAGCTCTTAAGTTGTCAAATGTGAATATTTGCAATGTTTCTAAAAAAAATTATTATAGTACATTTTTTATAATTTCAACTGATGGCGGAAAAAAACAACACATTTAAACTTTAACTGGCTCCTATTGTAGACATTGTCTTACCATCGTTTTCTTACTTTCAAAATAATTTGCAGATGAGAGAACAATTGTTAGTGGCAGCTGAGTAATATTGTCTGACCAAGAGATTTTAAATGAAAAGCTTTTTGTCTTACATTTGTATTCTTTGTATCTCTCTTTTTATTCGTATCCCTCACAAAGAACTTTGAGAGTTAACATGTGCTTTCTTCCTTGTAACAGAATACATGTTTTGTATTTACAAATCTGTTCAGCAACATTGTTGCATTCTCTCTCAGTGAAAGTGGACTAATGTGACTTCTCATTCAGTAGTTTCAGTAACACTTAGGGGATGTCACAGGGAATTTGATAGGATCGGAAGATGTTTGATTCCAATCAGAAGTTAAAGAAAGGGCCATCCTGGAATACTAAGATTATCCTTCAAGCCAAACAATTCCTCTCAATCTTCTTAAGATAACAGAAACCATACCGGTTCAACATGCTGGTTGCCCTACTAACTGGCAACTCTTTATCAGTATGCAGTGGTACATGAGGAAGTGAGACGTCTCTGTCTGGTATCTGCAGGTAGCAGTAATGTGGGTGAGGAAATCTTTTTCCAGTAAGACCGCAAGGGAGGGGGAATTCATAAACTCCTAATGACTGACTTGTTACAGGCAACTGCTGGACGCGATCATTCTTTCATGGAAAGTAGAATCTGTGTCTGCAGAAAGAAAAGAAAACTGCTGACATCACCCGGTTTTTGAGGAGAATCAGCACACATGCACAGAGAGCGTGCACATGCTCCTTATTCAGCAGTGCTGCGGTCTGCATCCACCGCTCTGTGTTGTGTTAAAAGCTGCTGTTGACACTGGCTGGGCCGATTCACACCTAAAACTGCAATCTGGATTATTCTGCACAGAAACTAACACAAATCAACTATGAGTGTTTACATATGGGGAACAGTGAGAGCCATGCTAGTGACTTTGGCTGTCCTCTGGGAGCTGGGAAACATGACTGATATGGAATGTGAGGTTTATCTTGACCTGGTGTTTGCTCTGAAAGGAAATAACCTCACACTAGACAGATAGACAACATGCTACTGAATACTAAAAACACATTCAAGGTCAGACAAATGGCTTTCCATGCTTCCTGAGGTGGTTATACAAATAGGTGTTTACCAGTCAGAGAAATCTTTGGACTCTTCTACAATGTTGTTTATCTGAGGGTTCACTAGCAGATATGTCAGTTAAAGGCTTACTAGCACTGATGTGTGTAAGAGGAAGGGGAGATGAAGGTTGAGGGATGTTGTTTAGGGGACTTGCTGAAGTCCAGGCTGAGGGAAACACAGGGTGCCCGAGCTGACACCTAGAATGGGACAAAAGCATGCAACAGATGAAAACGAAAGAGACAAGTGGAGACAGGAAAAGGGGACAAAGGGATGTAGGGATGAATCGTCCAAGGGAAGTTGGAAGATGGGATGAAGGGATAGATGTAGGGAGGTAGGAATAAAAGGTCAATGGAGTGAAGGGATGGAGGGGTGTTGCGAGAGAGGGATACATTGTCTAAGCCATGTAGGAAGGGAGTGATAAGCGGTCAAAGGAGTATAGTGAGGTGAGATCAGGGGTGTCCAAACCTTTTTCACCGAGTGCCGCATACAGACAAATATACGAAGTGCTGGGCCACTTATAGAGGTATATTGCCTCGTAAGTTAAGTTATAAGTTAACAAAATGTAGGTAAATTAGGCTTGACACATGAATATGATTTAAGAAAGCCTACATCACAGCTCTCTATAGGGTTTCATTTATCTTGTTAGCAGCTCATCCCTTAAAACAGAAGCCTCAGTGATTATAATGAGATGAAATATGAAGGCTCTATTTCAAGCTTGTTATGTAAATAAATTATTGGGATTTTTTTTATCAACTAAGATTTGTTAGAAAATGTTTTCAACATGAATTGACTGAATGTATTTGAAAAGTGTTCTTACTAACACATGAATACTACTGTGTAATATATTTGTACATATATATTTAAGAAGTACAATATAAGAAAAGGCCGTAGTTTGGCCACCCCTGGGTTAGATGAAGGAAGTTAGGGAAGAAGAGATGCAGTGGTGTAGGGACAGAGGGATAAAGGGAGGTAAGGATGAAGTGATGTAGGTGAAGAGGAGGTAAGAAGAGAAATGGATAAATGGTGGGTTGTGAAATGGTAGAGAAACAAGGCCGGGTGTGCTGACCAGGTGTAAGTAGTTTAGCAGGTGGATAGAGGTGTGGTTGAGCTGTGCCTCTTCTCCAGAACCTCAGTTCACTGACTAACTGCACTAGTATTCTGTAGTTTGTTCAGATACTCAACAGGAACACAAAGGTACTGTTGTAGATTAACAAATGCATTGCAGTAATACATACAGGCACAAACTGGGGCTACTGTTGTACAGTTCATTAGGCTTTGGCTTCAAAAACATCCTAGTCATGTTTAAATGAAGTTGCTAATAACAAGTAATGAAAAAAAGTCTACCAAAAACATAGAACATTTAGAACTTTAAATAAATGATAGTAATGTATTTCTAACAGCTCACCCGTGTCCTCCTCTCCCAGACCAAGTCCTGGAGAAGGCCATGCACAAGTGCCTCCTGAAGACCCTCAAGCCGGTGGTGAGCGTGGCCCTGAAGGAGTTCCAGGTCCGCAGCGGGGAGTGGCTGGAGCTGAAGGAGAACCTGGCCTTAGCCAAGGCCCGGCTGCCGCAGGAAATGGGCGTGGCCGACACGCTGCCCCCGGACCCCGTGGCTATAGAGAAGATCAAGCACAAGTTCCACACCATGATCAAACTGTACTCCCCCGAGAAGAAGGTCAGCGTGCTGCTGAGGGTCTGCAAACTCATCTACACCATCATGGAGGACAACTCAGGTACAGATCAGAATGTCACAACAATTACCGGCATTTAATAACACTATTATCGATGGAAATTATTAACTGGAAGCTGGAAATTCTGTCTTACAATACTCACGATTTATAGAGAGTTTTAGGTTTTTTATGTAGGAAAAATGTGTCCTCTGCTCAGAGATTTTATTGATAGGAAAAGCTGCCTTTCATTCAGCATATTCAGGCAGTAGCCTATACACCAACACCCAAACACATGAGCACATTTCTACAAAAGAGAAATCTCAGCTGACAGGAAATGCTCCGTAGGCAGTAGGCGTATAGATTCACACTTAATTAAAGTATGAGCCTACAGAACAGTACAGCTTACAGAGAAGAAATAACATCTGATCGTTTTAGAACAAACACTATCTGATCTTTTTAGGTTTTTAGTAACATTGTAATCCTGACATGTTGCAGTCATCTTATCAAAGTTAACCTGAAGGATCTGTGTGGCTCTCAGGTCGTCTGTATGGAGCTGATGACTTCCTGCCCATGCTGACCTACGTGTTGGCCCAGTGCGACATGCCCCAGCTGAACAATGAGATCCTCTACATGATGGAGCTGCTGGACCCCTCTCTGCTTCATGGAGAAGGTTTGTTTGTTATAACAGAGTGTCCACCATGAGAGAAAAGTTGTATTTGTATCTTTATGAATAACTCGTTAACCCTCTTCCTCTGCGTGTCCAGGTGGCTACTACTTGACCAGCGCATATGGAGCCATGTCCCTGATTCAAAACTTCCAGGAGGAGCAGGCAGCCAGAGTGCTGAGCTCTGAAACCAGGAACACGCTCCACCAGTGGCACCGCCGGCGCACCACCCAGCGCTTTGCTCCGTCCATCGATGACTTCCAGGTAGGTCAAACTGGAGACTTTGTTTCAAGTCATCTCATATTTATAGGGCTCCTATTAGTTTCTCTCCAACACACTCCCCCGACTGCCTGAAACACCTCCATTGGACTCCTTTGTTTACTTGCGTATCATAATGACATCACTATGTAACACTCACGCTTCTATTGGCCAGCCCTCCAACACACTGTACGAACGAAGCTCAGACTTTCTGGTGATTTAGGGAGAGTTGTAGGTGTTTGAGGTAGGAGAACAGAACAGTGTACCCTTAGACAAGAAGAAAACCAAGATGTTTAGGGTACGAAATGTATCCTCTGAAAACCTGCCTTTAATTCTGCATATTTAGGCAGGTTTTATGTTTTTATGTCTTGTCCTTATATGTTTCTTTGTAAAGCGACCTTGAGGTTATGAAAGGCGCTATATAAATTCAAGTTATTATTATTATTATTATTATTAGTAGTAGTAGCTTAAACACCAACAATGAAACACATGAGCACATACTACAGTTTAGAAAAGCAGAAAAGATCAATTGAGCTGACAGAAAATGCTCCGTCGGCAGTAGGCGTTTAGATTCACACTTAAAGTATTAAAACAAATTCAGCTGTACTCAAAAACAATAAAGGCTGAAGTCCAATATGTTAAACGTTGCTGTATCAAACATGAGTATCACATATTGTTTTATGGCTAAGATGTAGGTAAATGGCAGGCTTAGCCACAGGGACTGCTCAGTGTCTCCACTGTTAGTCTGATTGTGTCTCCTGACTGTCCCACAGAACTACCTGCGGGTGGCGCTGCAGGAGCTGGACAGCGGCTGCACCGCCAAGACTCTCCAGGTCCGACCGTTCGCCTCCGTGGACGAGGTGTGCCGTCTGTGTGCGCAGAAGTTCAAAGTGTCGGACCCCCAGAACTACGGCCTGTTCCTGGTGATGGAGGGCAGCAGCCAGCAGCTGGCGCCGGACACCCACCCTCAGAAGATCAAGGCGGAGCTCCACAGCCGCTCGCAGGCCACGCCGTTCCACTTCGTCTTCCGCCGAGTGGCCCCGTCTGCAGCTCCCCTCGATCTCACACCCAACCTCAACGACCTCACTGGGACTCCTGACCCCCTGGACAACCTGCGTGCCCTCAGCAGAGACCTGTCCCCCCCCTCCCCCGAGCCCACTCTCAGCTCAGGCCTCAGTCCTACTCTGAGCCTCAGCCTGCCCACCACCAATGGCAACTCTATTTCTGTATGACTGTAACAGGGGGCTGGTGGACAGTTGGCCATGGTTTTGTCTCCCAGTATTGACAGTATGTGCTTTTATCTCAAACAAACAAAGGGCAAACGATGCGCCTTTACAAAGCCTTACTTCTCCATTTGGATTTGACCTCAATTTGGGTCTCTCAGACAGACGAGGGTGAAAGAGGAAAAGGACAGGAGGGAAGGAAACGAGAGGAAAGGACGTTTATATAACTTCAATGGTTCTCTGTTTGGCCTCAGAGCAACACTTTACTGAACACTGCCCTCAAATGTTAAACCATTAAGGTAAGATGTTTAAGATAAGTGTGTTGAAGACGACATGAACACTTACTTGTGTTCACAGCAGCTCTTCAGATTCAGGGTCAGCTGTTCTTGTTGTTACCTGTAAGGTCTATAGAGGGAAATCAGATCCCCAATACATGAGGGGACTATTCTTTGATCAATCATTTTCAATATGCAGCAGATTGTTTGTTTAGTAAATAGGTTTTAATATGATTTATTTGTAACAGTTGCTGGTCAACTATGTTATTATGTTGTGTGTGTTTTGAAACTGTACATTCTTTAGATCGTTTAAATGTTTAGATGGGTTGGGCGACACCCAGTGGTGACTGGTGCACATTGGAAGAGTTTTATTCAAAGCACCATTTATGGCCTCAGACGTGAACAAATAAGCATCAAAATGAATGTTGAACTGAACTGTATAACCTTTAGCCCCATCTCACCAAGGCTGCAGTTATTAGAAAAGGAATCTGCTCCTAGGTCTTTTCTTAACCACTGTTCCTCAACCTCAGCAAAACACGTTATAGGGTAAAGCAAAGATGTGAAGGAGAGAACTCATCAGGACAATTGTATAACAAAGTACCACCTCATGCTGTAATGAAGAGGTGTTCCTCCCACACAAGCACAGACGTGATGGTCGGCTCTAGTTCCTAAGTGACAATGGTTCAAATGCAACTTTTTTACCATGATCCATGCGACATGAGGCAACTCAACCGTTTTTGGGCCTTTAAGGAAAAACATTTGTTATTTAAAAAAAGATTATAAAGTGGTTTAAAAGGGCACTACCTTTCTGAAATTGGTGCTGACAAAAACAGAGTATGACTAAATATGTTGTTAACCCTTAGATGCATAAGTGGGTATTTTTTGACCCGGTGAGGTGGTTTTCTTGAAGTATCTTTGTAATTACATTTTTTTTATCATTTCATATTCCAGCTATTCCTCAAAAAACATGTTTTGGATATCATGCCATTAACATTTTAAATTTAAATTGTATACATTTTAAGAAATTGTAGTTTTTGTATTACTACCCCAAGCTTCCATAAGTGGGTCAAAAATGACCCGCTTGCATTTTCTATGCAATTTCGTTTTTTTTTCAAAATGTAAAAGAAAATTATAAATAGTGAAAAATTAAATATAAAATATTTCTAGTGTGAACCAAAATATAATACAAAATATTATACAAGTGATTTTTCTTAACCAAAATGACAAAAATGGCATAAAAACACATATTATTCTAATAAGGCTCCTTTTTGACCCACTTAATGGAGAGCGTAGGGTCCAGTCACTCGTGGTGCATCTAAGGGTTAAATATATCAAAAAACAAAACATTTTGTAATTGTTATTTTTTTGCTCCTGTTGATACATGTGATATAGTTAAGTGAAAATAAGACAAAATACAATATATTAAAGTTTAAGTAGAGAGCTGTGCAGATTTAAAAAAAGGCAAAGCCAACAATACCCACAATGCAATGCTCCATAAATTATAAAAAACTAGTGTATAAAGACTTCTGTTCTTTGTTTTCTGGAAATATCAGAGCCAAACTGTGCCTTTATCAAATCTATGTTTTAGCGACATGCAGCATTTCCTGTGCATCAAGTTGCAGGTCAACCCCATCGATGAAAGATATCATATTTGACATTTTTATATAATAATCTTAGGAATTAACATTTTAAAATATTGTTCTTGCTTGTAGTTTGTGTTAAAGTGTAATGTTAGAAACAGACAGGTCTTCCAGTGTTTAACATAATGTCTATATGTAGTGATTATCCTGGGGATATTAAGATGCTTTATCATACCTGATATATTGCTTACTTGTTAAGGGGCATTGTGTCCATTCAATTGACAAAATGTGAGCAAGGAACAACTGCGGCTGCCACATTACATTTTTAACAAGTCTCTGAACTACTGACAAATGTTAAAGGTTTATATCGGGGAAATAATGGTCAGTATGGCTCTCATAGATATTTGGAAAGAGGTGAATATGACTGGGCTAGTCCCACTCTGTACTCAAGTCTACATCAGTATTGAGCTTAGTGCTGTAGATAAAAAGAAATACTTGAAATGTTTTTATGAATTTAAAGGTTCCAATAGTTACAAAATCGCATTGACATGCTGTTATTTTCTGAGTGTAATGAACTGAAACACTCCATTCATTTCTGTTTGACAATGACAGAGGTAAATGTCTACAGTGAGGTCAGAAGAGAGGAATCCCGAAGCGTTGGGCATTCATCCTCAGTTTGTAACGTTTCTGTATATATGTCTTCGGGCAAGTGTTCAACATACTGCCATGTCGTTGGTCATAAACAGTTTTCTTTGATAGAGCAAAGTGAGTATTTATAAGTCTCTGTGCGGGGATTTTTCACAGAAGCCTTTTTCCATGTCTATGATATTCTCTGGTGTCAAACTGTCATTTGCATCAAGGTGACATCTTTCTGTTTATTATTTGTCATTTAATGATATCGTAAATATTCTTTTGCACTTAATAAATGTTTGAAATGGAGATACATGCCTGACGCTGTATTTTTTATCAAAGCTATTCCTCCATAGGATATTAAAGGTGTCTATCTAGTGGGTATGTACCAGTACATAACCACTAGATGGTGCCATTCACACCATTGTCACATTTTTCCCAATATCTGTTAAAAAGCACTATTTAGGGCCCTGGCACCGACAAAGTCGGAGTGGAGGACCTAATGAAAACGGTAGGATCATTTTGTATTCTAGTTTATCTTTTATTGCACATTTTTACTTTAATGTTGTATATTAATATCAATATTTGTTATTGAGCGTTTGTTGCTTCCACTGCTCTCCTTGTTCCCCTCCTCCTCCGCTCGTATCTCGGGCGGGACAATATCTTACTAAAGTTGTACTAATATACAACTAACACGCTAGAAGATTAAAAGGTCAGCAAAACTACCTCAACAAGTAGCACTTAATGCATTATACTCAAGTCAGGGCCTGTGTTTGGGTCATTCTGCTGACCAGTGGCGACTCGTCATTAGGGGCATAGCCCCACCTAGTGTCAGCAGAAAGTAATGCAAATAATAATTCTAAAAGTATGCAAAAAATATATATGTTAAAATATATTTTAAGATCATGTTTAGTCATCTGATTCGTCTGTACATTGCTGTTTGCTGCCGACGCGCTTTTTGGGGACAGTAAAAATAACAGTAGCATTTCAACAGGTTTTTGATATAATAAAAACTCAAGTTAGATACCGTTATTAATCAGCTGTAAGTTTGAGTTTGTTTGAACTTATTCATTATAATTATTGTACAAAATGGTATAAGAATGCAAACATTAAGATCTGTTCTGTTTAAATTGATTATAGTCTATTATCAATTCAGGTTAAGAAACTAGTGTTGCTTGCATCCTATTTTAAAGGCATTTCTTTTTATACTCTACTAAAATGCAACAAAAAAAGGGTTTGATTCTATTAATTGTGTTGTTTTTATTGCACTTTGGCAGCAGATTCCTGTGTAGCTTCAGATCTGAGTTGTCTTATTAGTAAGCCTAATTTATACTTTTGGAGCAACACTATTTTTATATAATGGCAAAGAAAGGGTTCAGAGTCTTTTCTTTTTTTCCTGTGTCATATGTGGCAGCACTGTTCAATGTTTCTTGAAAACATGACCCACTGTAGTATGTGACGTGTGAATAAACTCCAACTCTGTATCAACAACACTGTTGTGTAACTTCAGTTAAATACTTGTATGTGTGTAGATTAGAAAGAGGTAAGATAAAGGATCTGCAGTATTTTATGAAGTATTAATCGTACAAAGGTCAGTTTTATACAAGTAGAAGTGTGTATTTACCTGGTAGTAGGCTGTCAGTAATGGCTACGCCTCTCTATTTGGACTGGTAGATCTCGGCAGACTGGCCACTTTAAAAGTAGCTCTCGGTTCAAAAAAGGTTGGGCACCCCTGCACTAGAGTGAGGGGGGCCCTCAAGCCAAAGCTTGCTTAGGGCCCCCAAAAGTCTAGGGCCGGCCCTGCCTATAGGCTAGTGCTCTGCTGGATCGATTGATATTGTGACCTCGGTGATGAGTGTCTGTGTTTTCTTTATATCCCCCCCCCCCCTCTCTATCGGAACCATGGATAGCCTACAGCTATTTGTTTACGTGTTTAAAAAAGCCCGAAGCTTATATAGCCTATACACATCTAAGTTGTTCGTGCCCCACCACTTTTGTACATATAAAAACGCCACTGCTGCTGACGAATGCATCCATTCAGAAGGCAGGGTCATATAATGGAAATTGACTATACTGTAGGCCCTACAGCCATATTTCTGTTGAATGACTCACAATCAAGACAACCCAAAAGAGAAGCACACAAAAATCACTAGTGTCTTCCTTAAAGGTAATCTCATTGTGATGTCAATGACATATATCTTCCTTTGCAGTTGGTAGCATTCATGTTCAACCGCCCCAACAAAAAGCTCTTACTGAATCCAAACTCAAACCAATGCTCAAGTTGGACCAATATCAAAAAATTGCAGTGCCTTATTGCAACCTCTTCTTTGCTTATGAGTTTCCAGGTGGGGTTTTCCACCATCTTCTGTGACTTTTCTATATTCTTCAAAGATATAAAGTAAAATTAGACTTTGCATATGAAAATACGGATAACCTTGATAGGATCTGTGTAACTACCCCAACAAAAGCACTTACTACAATGTGAACAAGAGTTAGTGTTTTGTATGTATGTTGTCTGTTATAATAAATATTAATAGATTAAAGGAAATAGTAGAGAGAATTTCGGGGCGTATTATTATTATTATTAGGTTTTCTGCCATTCTACTCCTGCACACTCCAATCCAGTAGGTGGTGGTATTGCACCATTGTTGGTTGTCAACCGCCAATAAATCTCTAAGAAGAAGAAAAAAGAAGGCGAAGAAGAAAACTGTCACACCCGGGAAATTGGAAGATGTAGCGGATTATTCCCATGGATGTATAATAAGAATTATTCCTGCCCTGAAACTTTCGGATAGTAAAACTGTGTAACGCTAAATCCTCCCCGGAGAGAGACTGACTTTGTTCTTCAGTAGAGGATCTGGTGTTCCTGAGAAACGTTTCCGACCGCACTAAACCAGGAGGTAACACTAATCATGTTTATTAGAATTAAAGGCTGATTGTAGCCTCAAGGTAAACATCAGAGACAGGCGTTGTTTTATTTACCACATCACTGTCAGGATGGAATAGTTAGAAACTGCACTGACGTTAACAGGAGAACTCGTATAGCTCGATGGTATTTAAGCGCTAACAGGTACGGCTGGCTAACTTGCAAACTAACAAGCTAACCAGCTAAAGTTAATCAATTGTTACTCTGGAAACTAGCGAGCAACAAAGCACTTCTAACTGTTGACAGGTTAAAGCTAGCACATGATAACAAGCTAACTGGTACTTAGGTATTTCCCATCGACCTGTTTCCGTGGCAACTCAGTATACTTTGTCAACATCTGAGTATCTACACTGCTTTCCACTTCAATAACAATAGAGTGCCACAGTGACGCGTCCTAAAACCCGGAAGTAAACTCCTTCCGGTTCCTTCGACAAAAACCAATGTAATTTCTCCATAGGATTTTGGAAAATAGCTCGAAATAAGCCAGGTCTGTGGTTGACACAAATTGAAGAGACAGATCACGTTTTTTTTTTTTTCGAATCATAAATCTATCGATCATAAATCTATCGATTAGATTTATGATTCAAAAATTATAAAAGTAGGGTTGACATGTGGATATTATCCGGCTGAACAAAACGTGATCTGTGTCAACCACAGACCTTATTTCGAGCTATTTTCCAGAATCCTATGGAGAAATTGCATTGGTTTTTGTCGAAGGAACCGGAAGTGGTAAAATGCTAACGTACTTCCGGGGTTTAGGACGCGTCACTGTGGCACTCTATACTGCACATCTTTTATTTTATTATTCTGAGTAC